TGATAGCTGAAAAAAATGGGAGCAGCCCCCGTGCCGTTTCGGAAGGCTTCCCACTGTCCTTGCTTACAGTAAACACAGAATATATTTAGCTGCAGAGCCCAGCATGACACAGCCTCTTACTGCAATAATAGCAGCGCCTTGTCTCTTTTCCTTTTTTTTCCCCTCTTTTCTAAGAAATGGGATTGACGGAGCTCCTGGGAAGCCAGGCAGGGATTGCCTCGCTGCTCACTGCGCCTCCTGCAGTGCCAGTGTCTGTGTTTGCCCTTGTTTAGCAGGTCTGGCAACTTCTGTGGTGACTAACTTGGCAAACAGGCGTTGGGGTGGCCGTGGCGTGTCCTCCGCGTGGCACCCACAACGTGTCACCGCACAGGCGCCCATCAAACCCTGCTCCCGGCGTGAACAGGCACCCTGGGCATCAGAGAAACCATTTGCCCACTTTCCCCTTGGACTGAGCATGTCCTGGGGCTCAGGGCCAGCCCTGGGGATGGCACATCCCGTGCCAGGGCCTAACAGGGGTGCTCAGGCAGCCTGGCACGGTTTGGCAACCCGGGAAAGGCTGGCAGGAACTGGGTCTGACCTATCAGTGTGATTCCCCCTGAATTCTGAACTGCTAAAGTGACTTCTGTTGTGTCCCAGAATCCCACAAAATCCCCCCAAAATCCCCAGCCACTCGTGTCGCTGGGAGGGAGCTCGGAGCAGGGCTGGGGGCAGCGGGGCTGTCGCGGCCGTCACCGCGATGGTCATCATCCTCCAGTGAGATCAGAGACCTCGTCAGGGCCTGCCTGTGGCTTCTTTCCACTCTGCTTTTTGCCCCACGCAGAGCTATTTTTATTCTAATGCCAATGTTTGGGTCTCTGGTTCCTTTATTTCCAAACAGCTCTAACAGTGCAATGGAATACAAATGCTGGCCAGGCGAGGGATGCGTAAGCAGAGTGGTCAGGGCTGAATAGAACGATGTATGATGGTGATACAAATGACAGAACAAAATAACGTTGCCAAGAGGTCCCTGCTGCCTCGGGGGGCTGTGTCTGTGTTGGTGGCCCCGGGCTGGGGCAGCGTGTGCCATCCTTTCTGCAGTGATGGCTTCTCAATCTGTTCCTGACTCCCTCTCCATATTAGGTGTAATTTAGCAGCTCCTCTCCCCTCTCCCTCCTGTGCTGTAATTAGCACTTTTGGGCTTGACTCACGGCCTGTAATCATATCTGACCTGCAGTCACTCAGCCAAGGTGAGCCCTTGCCCAGGCACAGATAAGGCTCTGCTTGCGCCAGGCTGAGTGTCCCGAGGGACACGGCGCTCCCGGCACGCACCGGCACACGGCAGCTCTGCTCTGAGTGGCAGCACCCACAAAGAGGGGGAAGGCAAATATTTTCCGTGCCCTCACGTCCCTCCCAATAGGGAATTGCAAAGCAAACTTGGTTGTTGCTAATAAAGTGCTCTGAGAGCCGTGGCCGAGGCGTGCAGGACCCTGTGACAGACCTGTCTGTACAGACGGTTGCCCTGAGCCAGGCTGGTGTCCCTCCAGAAGAGCCCTGGGATTGGGGGGCAGGGACATCTGGGCCGCAGATGTGACAGCTCTGGGGACTCCCTGGGCACAGCAAGCAGTTCTGCAGCAGGGCAGAATTTGGGATGTGACATCTGGCAGCCCGTGGGTGCTCCCAGGAACGCAGCAGGTCCCCTCCAGTAGCGCGAGTGAAGATGGAGCTGGGGAAACTGCCCTGAGATAAACTCACCAGCGGATGGAGAAAGACTGGGATAGAAATGAGCAATCCTGGCACGGATCAGGAACACGGGGAGAGGAATGGCAGTCGTGGCTTGGTCTGGGTCTGGCTGTGGCTTCAGTGGGACCTTCACGATGTAATGACAGCCCAGGGACCCTGAGATGGGGCTGCAAACTCCTGAACACTTAAAGGAGGTTGATCGTGAAATAGTTTATAGCTTATGAGGAGGTTGTAAGGCAGCCAGGACCTGGATAATGGGGGATTTTAATTACTTGATATTGATGGACATAATAAGTGAGCAGCAAACCACTGAGGGAAACCTGTGGCTGGAGGGGAGAGCGAGATTGATCTATGCACAGCATGTTAAATCACTTAAATCATTCAGAGCCTCTTCTGGCCCCAGCTCCAGGAGCAGAGCCAAGTATGATAAATAAGGTCGGGGTTGGGAAGTGTCTAGAATCCAAATGTTTGTATTCCTGTTCAATTTCAGACATTCTCAGGGACAAAAGCAGCAGAGCTGAGCGTGCCCAGGGGCTGGGGGAATCCCTGCAGGGGGGGTTGGCAGCCAGAAAGGGGCTTCCACCGCTGGGGGCAGCTCAGGAACTCTCACACAGATTTGTCCCAGGGGAAGGTGACCTGGCTGAGACCCGAGCACGGAGGGAACGGGAGGCCAAAGCGACTGAGAAGGACGGAAAGTCTGAGCAAACAGTGTGGGTGGGATGACGGCTGCAGGCTGGGCACGGCCTGCGGGGCAGGGCTGGCCACCTCCTGCGGGCAGCTCCCAGGGCTGATGGGGCTTGGTGGGGTTTGGTGGCATCAAAGGTGTGCCCAGGTGAGGTCTCCTCCTGCCACCTGGGCCGGGCACCAGGCTTCCTTCTCCACCACACAGGCCTGACCATCAGATATCACGGGGGAAATCTCTGCTTAACCCAGCGGGATAACGAGGAGTCAGCAGGCAGGTGGACACCCCAGCACGTGGCTGGGAGGGCTGTGCTGGGGCAGCAGCTGCAGCTCCACAATGGAAACGTGTCCGTCAGCGCAGCAGGGGCAGGGCTGTGGCTCCAGAGATAAGGGAGAGTTCCGTGTGGGTGGCACCAGTCTGGGGCTGGAGCTGCTGCTCGAGCTGTGGCTGAGAGCTGTGACATCCCTGCTGGTTTCCCAGCCCCTGTGCCCGCCGAAACAAACCCTTCTGGGCACAGCAGGGCCTTGGCAGCCCCTGGCACTGCAGTTCCCAGTGGTGGGATGTGGCGCTGGTGCCAAGCATGTGCTTCTCCTCAAACACACCGTGCCATTTTTAGGCACAGGCATAAATTATTTAAATGCCAGGTGCTTCCAGTCAGAACGCACCTGAGACCTTAGACATCTGCATCTTGAGATCAGCGCTAGACAGCAGTGGTTTGAAAACAGAGAGAAATCAAAGCTCTGGTGGAGCAGCTGTCCCAGCCTGCCAGGGGAGCACATGGGAAAGGGCTGTGCCCCACTGTGCATCTACATTTGGGTACTGCCTGAGTGGCAGGGTCCTCCCTGAAGCTGATTCTAAAGGAGCTGCAGCTGATTAATTGTGAGCTGACTCCAACAGAGCATTTGGTAACGTGGACTCAGACATGGGGGGTCCTTGCAGTGCAGTTTGCTGACCTGGGGGTGCAGTTTCTTACGTGCCTTCTTTGTCTCCCCAAAGTGTTGTACCTGAGTGTGCCCTTCAGTGCAGGGAACCCCTTTGGCTCTCCAGAGCCCTCTGACACCTCTGGTTTCTCAGTTCCCATTCTCTCTTCTGGGGAGACACACATCCATCCTCCTTGCTCCTAAGGATCTGCTCCTGGATCCCCCTGGCATGGGGCAGGGGCAGCCTGTGCAGGGAGGGCAGTTTGCAGCAGGAAGAAAATCCACCTGTGGTGGGTCCTGTGGCCTTTCCTGGCATCAGCATCACAAGTGGAGCCCCTGCCCCCCTGCAGTGCCAGCTCCCTCCAGTCCTGGCTGCATTTCTCACTTAGCTGGAGCGATTTTCCCCCCTGCTCCAAGTTTGCTGTTTTCCTGAAATGGTCTGAAATGTAATAGACCAAGACAATCATCAGCATGAAATATTTCCTACATGAAATATGCAGCAGCTATTCAGAAATGAAGATCAAGTGGAAGGAGGGCTGCCAGGCAAAGATTTAAAGGTGCTGACATGTTCCCGTGGGTTGTTTACCGAAGTTATCTCTGAAGCCCCAGTTTTAGGGCTGCATTTCAAAAAAGGGCACAAAATACAATTTAGCAACTGCTTTAATAATTCAACCTGCAGCGTGCTGAGCTTCTTGTTGCCCTTATGGGAACGATGCCTCATTTCAAAGGACCTTGACTGTCTTCTGGTAGTGCAGAAGGGGCGCTGCCAGGGCTATTTTTGCACCAAAACACTGATTGGGTGTGAAACCTGTCTCTGGTGGCCGTGCCAGCAAAACCCGGGCAGGCGAAACGGAGCCATATGGCCTGATTTCCCTAAAGATGCGGATTCCAAGGAATTTGGGCGTGCTCTCTCGCTATAAAAGGGCAACTTGAGCACCTGGCTCTATAAGAAAAGGGTTTAGCCCTGCTGTTGGCACAAGGCCGTGCCCAGCCAGCCCAGCTGGTGCTGTGGGGTGAGCCGGTCCCTGCAGCCTCGGGCCGGAGCAGTCGTGGCTGTGCAGGGGTGCCCAGCCCGGGGCTGTCCCTGGCTCTGTCTGCCGTTTCTGTACTGTAGGAGCCTCCGCAGTGGGCTCACCCTGGCACCAGGCTGGGTGTTCTGCTGCAGGCACCTGGCCAGGGCCATGGCTTTGTCCGTGTATTTTTCCCTTGCTGGCCCCTCGAGGCAGCCGCGTCCCCTCGTGTCTCCTTCCACAGCACGGTGTCACTGAGACTCCAGAGAGCAGAGCCCGCCTGAGCCCCGGTGTTGCAGCTTTGCCCCTGGGACATCCTGAGCCCTTACCGAACAGAGGCTCCCCCCGCAGCCCCCCCAGTCCCCCTCCGTGTTTCGTTTTTCCTGCTGCCAGCCCGTTCCTCTGCTGCGGGATCGCCTGCGCCGCCGCCAAACGCGGCTTTCTGCCGCCACCTCGCGATGGAGCAGCGCGGGGATGTGGCGATGGAGCAGCGTGGGGATGTGGCGATGGAGCAGCGCGGGGATGTGGCGATGGAGCAGCGTGGGGATGTGGCGATGGAGCAGCGCGGGGATGTGGCGATGGAGCAGCGCGGGGATGTGGCGATGGAGCAGCGCGGGGATGTGGTGATGGAGCAGCGCGGGGATGTGGCGATGGACACGGCCCGGCAACGCGGCAGGATCGGGACTCGCTGCTTTATTCGTCCGTGTAACCCACCCGCGTCCAGCCCCTCTGCAGCCCCGACCCGCGGGGTGCTGCGGGCAGCGAGCGGGGCTGGGAGGGACACAGCTCTTGCCCGTGCCGTGGGAGGACGCTGCACCCACTCTGGTGGTGCCTTGGGACGATGTGCTGATCCCCGTGCCACGGGAGGACACTGTGCCCATCCCCGGGCCCTGGGAGGATGCTGAGCTCACTGCGTGCCTTCTGGGGGGGAACAGCAGCACTGTTCTCCCTCGACAGCCCAGAGCACGTTCCTCGTGTCCCAGGCAGGTGGGAATGATGCTGCCGAGGGGAGGTTTTGGACCTTGGCTCGTGCACTGCAGGCAGACACGGGAGCTGCCCGGCCTCCTGCACCCACTGTGGGCAGTGCCCCGACCCTCGGGGCACGTCAGACACTTATCATGCCCTCCCTGGTGGTGTCCCTGATGCTCTTGAGGAAGCTGAAGATGTGGGACCCACCGGTGCCTTTGGCCTCCAGTGCCGTCGGGGGCTTCCCCAGGGCAGGCCCAACCCTGGCACCCGGCTCTGCCCGCTCAGCCTTGGCTTTGGTGGCCGCCACGGAGATGTACTTGGTGACGATGGCGATGTGGCAGGACCTGAAGTCTGTCAGGGCAGACACACACCGGTTGAACGCTGCACAGAGCTGCCTGTCCCTGGAGGAGAGCACGTGCTGCCTCAGCGATGGGGCACGCTGGATCTCCTCCACAAAGGCTCTGTGGGGCGGGGGCATGTAGTTCCTCATCCTGTGCAGGAAGGCGGCTGCAAGACACCAGCAAAGAGTGGGATAAGTTGTGGGTGTGTGGATTAAAGGCCCCAGAGAGAAGCCAGCCTGGAGCTCTGCTGCTGGCACAGTTTGCAGGGACAATGGTGCTGGTGGTACTGAGAGCCTGAACAGCTTTCTCTGCTCTGCCTCCACTTCAGTGAGAAAGAAACCCCATATTAGCTCAGTGCTCCATTAGGGTTGGTCTTAACTCTAAAAGAAAAGACTACTCTCAGTCTTTTGATTTGGCTTATTTTGGGGTGGGTTTTTTTGCTAGTAGAGTGGTTTTGCTAATTTCTGATAAGCATTTCTGTTGTTGGCTGCACTAACACGGAACTCTGAATGGATGGTGTAAATCACTGGCAGGACTGTAGGCACGCTCTGCTCCCTCATCTCTGGGCCCACAGAGAAACTCAGGAAAAAGCTGACAGGCAAAAAGCAAAGCGTGACCTTTTGGGAATTCCTCACGGTGAGGAAGCGCCCACCAGAGCCTGGTTTATACCCCGAGGAGCTGGCAGAGCCCGGGCCCAGCTGGGCTCTGCAAGAGCGGGAAGGGCACGTGTGCTGCCGGCTGGCAGAGCTGGCACAGCCGTGGGAATCACTCTGGCAGGGGAATCACTTCCCCTGCCCCTTTTTTGCTTGGGAAAGGGAAGAGTGTGCATCTTACCGGTGTCCTGGCGGTGGTGGATGCCCAGGAGCTCATCGAAGGCGTGCAGGACCGTGCTCTGTGCTGCGCTGCCCCCCGAGTAGGCCAGGGGCTCCTCGGACACCCCCTCATAGACGAGCCCATCCGGCATGGCAGGATTGTCCTTCCAGCTGGGCAGGAGACACAGCAGTCAGGCAGGGGCAGCTGGGGACAGGGACTGTGAGAAGGGACTCTGGGCTGGCAAGATGGAATGAACCCTTCCTGGCCCAGCCCGTGGATCTCCTCCTCCTCCTCCTCACTCAGCTGTGCCAGCCCTGCTCAAACGGGCGATAAACTTGGAAATCAAACGCTGTGCCAAGGTGCACAGCGAGGCCGTGGATGGAGGGAGAAATCCTTAATTTTCCTTTGCCAGGAACCAGGGATCGTTCTCTGGGATCACCATGCCCTGGTGAGCACCCTGTGCAGCGGTGCTGGGACACCCTGCCCTGCCTGGCTGCACGTTCTGCTCCAGCTCGGGGTGGTTTGTGTGAGCACAGCTGCCTTGGGGAGGGAGGGGGCACTTGTCTGGGCGACAGTGGCACAACAACAATTCCTTGGATGCCAGTGGCCATTCGGAGAGGCAGCAGGTAGAGTCACCCAAATGCTTCTCTGAGTCCCTGAAGTTTGTACTTTGGATTTTCCTTTGTTCCTGTTACTCAAGGTTACATCTCTAAAAGCATTTAAAGCATAAATAGACACCGGGTCAGCCTGCCTCTATTTATCTCCACAGATAACAAGGCTGGGATGGGATTTCCTCCCTCTGAAGCTGCTGGTCCCAGGCAGGCTGGGAGCCAGGAGCTCCCCCCACACACCCTGAAGGCAGACCCTGTCAGCCCCCATTGTGCAGAAATGGAGAAGTGCTCTCTCCCAAACAAAGAGAAGAGTTATGATTCCAGGGAAATGAAGTGCCTGGCACAAAAATATCTGTTGCCCTTCTGCAGAATGCACCAGCCTGGGAGGCTTTCGGTGCTGGCTGCTCGGGCTGTGGGGCTGCGGGAACAGATTTTGCACAAACTGCACAGAAAATAGATTCATTATCAAATACCAGAATATTTTTAGTTCTCCCAGGGTTGTATTTATAGTAACCTCTACGAGTGGGAAGTTCTTATAAAGCAGAAGGGAATTTTAAAGGCATGTTTTTCCAGGCTGATGACCATCTAGACAAGGTCAGCTTGGATAAAAAATAAGAGAAACCTAATCAGGATGCATGGAGCCTTTTGACTTGGGAATGCTGAGATATGCTGGAGAGAGGTAAAAATAGAACCCCCCTGAGCAGCCCTGGAATGAGTGGTTGTGGAAGCTGCAGCCCCGCAGGGATGCTGAGGGACAGTGAAAGTGCCACGCTGGGCTCTCAGGGCTGTGCTTCTGCCTTGCCCAAATGGCTTTTTTCAGTATTTGGGGGAGATTTTCTTTTTTCCAATTGACAGAATCACAACAGAGCAGCAGCAAGAGGCTCGTTAGGGATGTTTCCTTAATGTGCAGTGGGAAGAGCTTCACAGCCTTGTGTGCACAGTGTGGAAGGAACGAGAAATTCCTCTTCTCCTGGCAAAACTGTTTGGCCAAGAGCAGGAATGATTCATTTGTGCCCAATTCTGGCTGTTGGGGCACAGAGACCTTCTCGGGGCTGAGCTGAAGTGTGGGATGGAGAGTGGGTGGAGGGGGGCAGACCCCAGCCCTCAGCCCCTGCCTGTGCCCAGCAGAGCCAGTGCCAGGGACAGGATCCTGACACATGAGGAGCATCACTGCCAGACACAGGGCTGGGCCCCACCTCGCCCTGGGGGACCCCATGTCCCATCTGGGCTGCCCCTTCCCGGCACATTCCCAGTTCCCCCTGCCCTGGGAGCTTCCAGCGTGGTGGGAACGTGCTGCGCTTACCCAGAGAGAAAGATGCGGATCACAGCGTAGAACACTGCGGGATCCACGTGGTCTAGGAGGAAACCAGTCATGTCAGAGGTGACTGGCAGTCACACCAACACGTGTGAGGAGCTGTGGTGTGTGCAGGGCTGTGCAGGCACGAGCTGCCCGCCCGGCAGGGGCTGTTCTCACCATGCATCCGCCTCAGCGCCTTGCCCATGGCCTCGATGGCCCCTGCCAGCTCCTCCAGGGCTCTCTGCAGGGTCTCCTCATCGTGCTTCAGGATGGCATGAAGGGCCCTGACGATTGCCTGTGGGAGGAGAGGAGAGGAGAGGAGGGAGAACCCCAAGTGACGAGGGGTGGCTCTGTACAGCAGCTCTGGACAGCTGCTGCCACCCATGCCAGCTCTGCTCCTTCCCCAGTCCACATGCAGGGGACAGGGTCACCTCGTGGGTGCACCTGTGGGCACTTTGAGGAGAGCAGAAAGCCCCAGTACCCACCTTAATGCCAGGCACAGCCGCCTTCTCAACCAGGAGGGTGACGAGGATGAAGCCCCGCAGGCTCTCTCCCCCGGGCAGTGCCACGATGGTGTCCAGGTTCCTGCCAAGGAGAGGGATTAGTGGGGTTGTGGCTCAGGATTTCCCTGCACACCACGGGACCTGCTGAGCCCTTGGAACAGAACACTCCCAGGCTGCAGAGCCTCTTATCTGCACCCCAGGCACAGAGAGGAGCTGGCACAGAGCAGAAGGGGTGCTCTGGTTTAGAGGCACCCACTGCCCTTCCCATGCCCTTCCCGTGGCCCATGGGTGCTGGGTCTGCACAGACAGAGCAGCCCACGGCTCTGCTGCAGTCACTCTGCTGTTGTTGCAGTGGCATTTGTGAGACAAACACTGGTTTTGTTGTGCATGCACGTCAAGAGAGGTTCAGCCTGAGCAGAACCCTGCAGTGCTGGAGAGCTGAGCCCATCCAAACAAAGCCAACACCATTAGAAAATAAATGAGCATCTTAACTACTTACTCGATTTCCAGAGGCCTGAAGGCATTTCAGTTATGGCCAAAACATGCATGAGGATAAATGGGGAGAGAGAGAGAGAGAGAGAAAAGCATCACAAACTGTTCTAGTGACAGGCTGTGCTCTACAGGGAATAGAGGAGCTGCTCCCAGAGGCACCCACATCCCCACAGGGCTCCTGTGTCTGCCTGTGAGGCCGACCCCAGCAATGATGAGGCTCGAGGGGGTTTGGCAGAGCAGGAGCAGTTTGGGAACCATCTGTCCCCAGCACCTGCTCGCTGCTGCTGCCCAACCACGGGGAGAGCCGCGCTTTGTCCGCCGGCGTTTGCCCATTTACCCGCTGGGCTCCTTCCTCCTCCAGTTGGCCAACACAAAGTCTGCGTGGCTGAGGATGGGGGGGAGGCCCAGCGCCTCGGAGACCTCCCAGAAGGGGACAGCGAGGTTTCGGGGCAGGACCTGGAGGGTACAAAGCAGGGGGGAAGATGGGGACGCTGTCAGGTGCCCGTGTGTGGGCACAGCCAGGCGGGTGAACCTGCTCTGTGTTGCCTTTACCTGCACGGTGCCCTCCTCGCCCTCCTGCCAGACGTAGCCCATGGTGATGAAGCTGAGCACCAGGTGTGCCAAGTGCAGCTCCTCTCGTCCTCGGAGGTGCCGGGCGCTCAGCTGGGGCATCTGCCGGGGAAATCCTTGGGAGCAAGGGGCAAAGCTGGCAATGCCAAGAGCTCCTGCGGTGGGATCTGTCCCCCCAGCTGGGGGTACCCTCCTAAGTGCCTCTCTCTGCCTTCAAGCCTCCCTTCCCACCCACCCTGCCGGATTTGCTCCTGTTCTGGTTTTGCTGGTTTGTGAGCAGGGACAGCTTCCCCAAAAAGGCGTCCCTCTTCCTGGCGCTGGGATGCCTTTGGGAGCAGCTGATCCCTGTGTGCCAGAGGGATCCCTGGGCTGGGATGAGACGCGGCTCTCGTGACATCTAGAGGGCCCCCTGCTCCAGCCCTCCCTGGATCTGCCGCGGGGGTTCCTTCTGTGCCGATGTTAAGGCTTTGCTGTCGCCTGGTGTCAGTCGTGGCTCAGGACACGTCCGTGCCGCCGGGTTGCTTTCCCACGCGTTTTGCGGATGCTTGTTGTGTCAGACCGAGACTGAGAGAGCTCCAGAGGCAGGAAGGAGAACGCGGTACCTGGTGGACACGGGAGCGGAGCCGATGGCTGGCGATCAGCTGGGGCAGCTCGTGGGCGACCTCCATCCAGGGGCCGTAGGGCTCGGGCAGCTCTGTCTTGGTGGAGAGAGGCAGAGAGAGGGCTGTGAATGTGCCCAGGCTCCCAGCACCCACCCAGCCTCGCACATCAGGGCTGATGGCTTGTGTCTGGTTCCCTCTCCTGTAACAGGAGCTTGTGTGGTCACAAATAATTGGATGAACACCATCTGTCTGTGCCCCCATATTCCCACTGTGGAGCCAGCCCAGTGACCAGTGGCCCCCCTTTGGACACGGGAGACCTGCAGAGTGACCGCTCTTCTTGTGCTCCCTAAAATCCTGTATGGCCAAGGCCAGTGTGTAAATGGCAAAGCTCATTCTCCTCTCCCCCCTGCCACTTCCATCATTTGAAAGTGAGGGGTTTGTCCTACAGAGCTGCCTGTGCCAAAACAGCCCCTGCCTCCCTCACTGCTCTCCGTAAGCTGTATCAACCCCCCTCCAGAAAGCCGCTCACAACCCCTCTGTTCCCCTCTCTGCCCCCTGTCCCATGCAGATGGGGGCACAGCCAGCTCCTACCAGAGGATTGGGAAGCAGGAAGCCGAACTCCTCGGACACCTGGAAGCTGGTCAGTGCCAGGGGCAGCGGGGGCTCCTCCGTGCCATTGCCGGCCTCCATCGCCGGGCGCTGGCCGTGGGGTGGGGACGTGCAGCGGGATGTGCAGTGGGATGTGCAGTGGGATGTGCAGTGGGATGTGCTGAGCCAGCGCCGGTGTCCCAGCAGCCAGGATGGACCTTGTCCTGGGGGGAGCCAGGGCCTGGCTGCCCAATGGCCGGAGGGTCTGAGCAAACACGGCTAAAGGTTGCAGATAAGGCCTTGTCATGGAGCATACGTTGATCTCTGTCCCTGTGTGTACCCACCCTGGAGAGGGCTTGGGGGACCTCCCTCGCTGTGGGTAGGAGGTTTGAGTGGCTTCCTCCCCCCACCCACCCCGAGGGGCTGTCAGGCTCCCATGGGGGGCTGCAGGGAGGGGTGGCAGCTCAGGGACACTGTCTCTGTGGGTGGAGTTCTCCAGGATCCTGGCAATGCCAAACTGTGCCATGGGCTGCTGACCAAGTTGTGACATGCAGGAGCCAACCTCCTTGCTGAGAGACTTCTGCTGCCATCTGGCTGGAGATGGATGAAATGGGGCTGAAAGGGCCCTAACCAGGCTGGGACCTCACACCCACCCCGTGCTCTTCCTGTTCCTCTGACAAAAGGCACAAACTACGTAAGCACAAAACCACGGGGCTCTGGCCACAGCAGCAGCTTTGCCCAACGCCTTTAATCAGCACTGGCAGCGCTGCCCCAGCCGCAGTGCTGGGCCCACGTCTGTCTTCAGCTCCTGCTCTGGCTTCAGCTCCAGGTTTATCTGCAGCTCTGGGTCCAGCTCTGCATCTGGCTCCAGGTTCAGCTCCGGGTCTGGCTCCAGCTCCCTGTCCACGTCCTGGCTGGTGCTGTGGGGAGACCTGGAGCGGTGTCTCAGCCCTGCCTTGACTCAGGGAGAGCTCAGTCCCCCAGGGCCACCTCCGTCCAGGGTTCACCTCAGCCCTGGGGAATAGACTCATGCCCTGCCTGGGAATCACCCTGGACATCCCTAGGGAATCCCCTCATCTTCTCCCCTCCCTTCCCTGGGGCTTCCCTCAGCCCTCGTGGGGAACACCATGGCCCTCTCCCACACCCCAGCCCCCCCTGAGGATCCACCCCAGGCAGGGCCCCACTCACCCCTCTGTGCCCTGCGGTTGCTGCCCTTGGCACCAGCCCAGCACCTGCTGCTGCCACAGGATGAGGACGAGGACGATGGCCCCGGCCAGGAGGAGCAGGACGAGGCTGGAGCCCAGCACCAGCCAGGCCAGCTCCCCGTGCTCCAGCACTCGCTGCAGGGGCAGGCCTGGCAGGAGACAGCCCAGCTGGCACGGGGCACTGCCACCCCTGCCCGCGCCATCCCCCCGCAGCTCCTGTACCCACCTCTCTCCACCAGCTGGAAGCCGCTGTCCACGCTGCCCCCAAAGGCAGAGCCCTTCTTCTGGCAGCTGGGGGGCCTCCAGCCCGTGAAGCAGTGGCAATTGCCCTTGCTGTTGCACACCTGGAACGGTGGGGGTGGGGGCAGAGGAGTGCAATGATCTCACAGAACCTGCCCCCCTCCATCCCCTCCATCCCCTCCATCCCCTCCATCCCCTCCATCCCCTCCAGCCCCCCCAGCCCCGGGGGACTCACGCCGTGGCCGTGGCAGTTGGCTTGGCTGTCACACTGGTGTCCCAGCACCGACACGGGGTGGCATGTGTTGTTTATACACACCTGGGGAAAAACCACAGCAGCTCCAGCCCAGCGCTGCCTCACCCACACAGCGCTCAGCACCTCAGGCTTTGGCCCAAAAGGGAAGGAAAACACACTATTTAAAAAAAAAAAAACAAAAACAACAATAAAGCTGCAGTTCTGCCCTGGGGCTGGGTCATGCCTCGTGCTCACACGCCGCCAGACCTTTTAATGCAATGTTTGCGTGGTTTTATAGTGTTTTTAAATATCAGGCACGCTGCTGCTGCTGCAAGGAGCAAGCGTTTCTAAAACCTTGCTGATATTTACAGTTTACATCTGTCATTTCAGATGATTACCAAACGCTTCCTCACCCTTTCAGAGCCACATTTTGTCCCCGGTGCAACCAGCAGTGGATCCAGCAGTGCTGATGCATTCAGATAATTCATAGAGACACACAAATGCTTCCTCACTTGGGCGTAAATCACGGCGGCACCAGCTGATGGGAAGGGGGTGCTGGACGGGTACGTGCAGACCAACTTCCCACACCTGAGATTCCTGGAAAGCCAATTTGCACAGGATGTGTGTCACACACACACACACACTGCCTGATGGACACGGCAACATCAAACAGCGCAGTCTGGAGCAAGGTGGGAAAACATCAGCAGGACTGGGAAGTCTAAGAGAGAATCTGTGACGTAAGGAGAACACATAGAGAACTATTTCTTGCCTCCCAAATCTCATTATAAACTGGAGTTTTGACACTCCCCTTCACTGCCCAGTCCCAATTAAACCTGCATTTTGGCAGAGCCAGTGCCCCCTCCCCAGCGTACCTCCAAGAACAGGGTTGGTACCCCTGTCCACGCTTGAACCCGCAGTGCCCAAACCTGTCCTTCTGGCTGTTGATCTCCTCATAACAGACCACAGGAGCATTCTTTGAATCTACCAGTTTAGCAATAATATTTGTTACAGTCAAAGGAACACAGAGGAACATACGATAATAACTTCATTTTTCCTCCTTTAATTAGAGCAAACATGCTTGTCCCTGCCCCACCAAACCCTCAGCAGTCCTGAACCCAGAAATCAGCAAGGGAGTAGCAAGTGGGGCAGTCCTCTGATAGAGTTCACCTCCAGATAATAATTTGCTTTTTGTTGTTTCTGCTGTTATCTGTGAAGCACTGGGGGACTTGGGTAACCAGAGCCAAACCCAAGCTTGAAACACTCCCCTAAGGCTGTGCCCTTCCCTCCTGGTGCCCCACTCTCACCTGAGAGCGCTGAGCACCAGCATCCTGCAGCCACCCCAGCCCCAGTCAGTGCCAGTGGCACCAGAAGAGCCCGTCACCTTTCCCGTAGAGGCGCTGGCACTGCAGGTCAGGGGACTGGCAGCGTCCCCCGTAGCAGTAGCCGGTGCCGCGCTCGCAGCCGTGCCCGTCCTGCACGAACACGTCGGGCGGGCAGGACGCGGAGGAGCCGCTGCAGAACTCGGGCAGGTCACACTGCGTGTCGGCGACAGGGCGGCACTGCCAGTTCTTCTTCCTGAACTGGACAGCAGCAACAGCTCTCCAGGAAAGATTCCCAGGAAGCTCAACCCCAGGAGCCTCTCCCGTTGCACAGCAGGGAGTTTGGCTCCATCCCTCAGCATGGGAATGTACTACTTCTCCAAAACTAAAGAATTATTTGGCGATAATTATAGAAGTTGCCTTACCTGACAACTTTTACAGCATGATCCAGAGGAACATTTCGCTCCTGGCTTAAGCTGACATGTTTTAGTGCAGCACCTGTCATGCAGGCATTGCTGGGGAAACATGGCAAACCCACATTTCAACTTTTCTGTGCCCCCCAGTTCTACTCTTCCTCCTTCTCCCCACGAGGCTACACTTGGGCAACATCATGCAGAACAAATGGGCAAAGCTGCCACCAGACTGATGCCATCTCCACCCAACATGGCCCTTCTGGGCTGCCCCCTGCTGCAGCGGGGCCCTCAGTCTCGAGGGTTGGTTATTCCACACATCACAAATGCAGGGATTTAGCCGTGGATCCCACAGCACCCACCTTGGCTGTGCCACAGTCGCACTGCTCGCCCGGCTCCACCACGCCATTGCCACAGACAGCCCCGCTCCGGGGGGACAGGGGCGTCAGGCGGGGGCTGTTGAAGAGGCACTCGCCTCTGCCCTGCTTCAGGAAGCTCTCAAAGTCCCTGACGCTGCAGTTGCTAAAGGCTTTTGCCCCACTGAAGTGTCTAAAATAAAGCAGTTTTCAGTTTACACATCACACATTCACCACCCCTCGCTGCCTCCAAACCTCTGGCAAGTCAAGGGCTTGCCCAGACACTGGCACAGGGCACGATGGCCCCAAGATACCTCTGAGGAGGGGACACCATGTAACCACCCCCGGCCCCCACAGCCCCCCAGCCCACTCACAGTGCCCCGGGGTCCATGAGGCACACGCGCCTGGCACAGCCACAGCCTCGGGAGCCCTCGGAGCTCATGCCCAGGCTGCGGCCCAGCACCTGTGCCAGCAGGACAGAGAAGGACTCCAGCGTCACCTTCCCGTGGTACTGCAGGGAGGAGAGAGCCAGGCTGGCACAGCTGGGCATGCCCTGCACAGACCCCCTGCTCTGGACAGGGATGCTCCTGCCCACTCACACCCACCCTGTCCCTGCTGCCCGTGGGCGAACTGTGGGGTCACGGCCACGTGGGCTGGCTGGGGACAGGCAGGGGCCAGGTGGGACTGTACCAGGGCCACTGCAGCAGCAGCATCTCTCTGACACGCCTTTCCCAGAGCCGTTGCTCCCACGAGCTCTCCTTGGTCCCTGTACCTGGAACAGAGGGGAGCGGTCACTGGTCACCCAGCCCAGGACACCCCGTGGCTGGGGGTGAGGGGGTTTGTACAGCCAGAGGCCCCTCCAGTGGCCCTGATGGCTCTGCTGTCCCTGGGGGAGCTGGGACGGGGCTGGTGTCCAGTGCCAGAGCCTGCAGAGCCTTGTCTCAGCCAGGGCAGGTGGGGTGGGGTGGGGTGGGATGGGATGGGATGGGATGGGATGGGATGGGATGGGATGGGATGGCACCACCATGGCTGCTGCACTACCACTGAAAGGGCTGGCTAGAAGGAGTGCCTTGGAAGAAGCACTTCCAGAATATTAAGAAATTAGGAATTATGTAAGAAATATGGCTTTTTAAAAAAGCATTTGTCATGAGAATCTTTATAGTTCAACCTACACTGGTTTGACTGGCTTAACCTTTAACATTAAGGAACCTTTATCTTACCCTAAGAGAGAAGCGATATCGTGTGCCTGCAGTGCCAGAGTCAGCTGTTTCCACTGTAAAAATCGCTGCAGAAGGTCATCTGTGTCCCCTGCTGTCAGTATTTTATCTCCCTCTGCCCACAGCTCCAGGGAGGACAGCACAATGGTGACGTTAAGGGGACTAAACATCTGAAAGCAGAAAGGAAACATCTGCTCACACACCTACCCTGTGTGCAGTCACCGCTCTGCACACAAACACATGGGAAAAGCCAATTGCTGCTGTCAGTCCCTCAGTGCCATCTGTAGCCAAAAAGAATGAACACACCTGAAAAATAAAGAGATCTAGCAAGAGGCCTGAGCCAGAGCCCAATAACTTCATAGGAAGAAGTTAGGGATTTTGGGACTAATTTCTCATTACACACACGAACCATAATGGCTCCTCCTGAACCCAAAAGCACCTAGGAGAGACGTGACCACTACTAACATCACTGCTGCCCCCCCATCTTACTGCAATACAAACCAGACTTTAAAACTCACATTGTTGACTAAATTGAAAGCCTGGATTATCTTCTGTGTGACGGCATTCGGGTCTGACCCCATATAGTTGTACTGAAAAACAAGCCAAGAGGATGTAAGTGCAGAACAATGTTGGAATACTGAAGTGATTCCCAACACCAGCCATGGAGATGTGAGGCGCAAGTTTACACTCCTCCTTTCCTACAAAATCCACAGCACATGTAATTTCTCAAAAGGGAAAACAAATCCACGTACAAGCTGGGAAATGGCAGCATTTCCATGCTCACAGAAGTCAGGCAGGCAGAGACAAGGAGGAAGTGTCTGGCACAGCTTACCAAAGCGCTGTCCAAAACCACGTACACGGTGAGGTATTTGGGAGATCGTGCTGCTGCCGAGAGGTGCTGGAAGAGAAAACGGGCTCCAATGTACTCCAGGGGACAGGTCCCTGTGTCCCCCATCACCTCACTGCTGCCTTTTGCTGTGCTGCTCCAGCCTCCCTTTGGAGCTTGTGGCCAAGTGTCCGGCCAGAGCTCCCTGTGGGATCAGGCTCCTCCTCGTGGGACAGGACAACAGCAGCGCTGTGAGAGCAGACCTTGCTCACCTCGGCATCCCCGTGGGCCTCAGCTGATGTCTCCTCTGCCACCAGCCCACCCAGCCCTGTCCTGGGGGGGCTGTGAGCCAGGAAGGACCCTGCTGCCTCCTCCTCACCCACTCGATACACGAGGTGCTGGAACGCGGGGGAATCGTCCAGGGGCTCGATGCCGTAGCTGACGTTCTCAAACTGCAGCAAACCCCTGCCAAGGCACTGGCACTGGCCATTTGCTCCTGGCACTGCCCTCTGGGCCATCCCTGGGCTCCCCACAGCAAAGGCCCAGCAGCACCTGAGGGCAGGGCAGGGCAGGGCCGTGCTGGTTCATTACCTGAGCCCCGAGCAGGTGCTGAGGGTCACTGCTGAGCTGGGGAAGCCATCGATGTACCCCCAGTAGTGGCAGCCTCCCTGCAGCGTGACAGAGGACAGAGAGAGCCTCTTCTGGGGCTGGGAAGGTGGTTCTCACCCAGCCAGCTGGACTGGGGCAGAGATCCACGCTGCAACACTTAGGGTACAAACACCCCAAAGCAAGGCAGGTTACCTCGACGTGGGCTGAATCAGGGCCCAGAGAGCCCTCCTTGTCCGACACGTAAATATGGAAATCATCAGATAAAAAGGCACTAGGAGAGAAAGGTGCAAAGTGAAGCACTTCCAACAACATCCATTACCCTGAGCTTCTCACAGGTCCTGCAGTCGCCAGGGAACGGGGCAGTGACTGTCAGCAGGGGCAGCATCAGGGCCAACTCACTGCTGCTGCAGGTGGATGGTGTACAACCTCCCCTCGATCCTCAGGACGTAGGACACTGTGTCCTTGTGCGTGCAGAAAAGCAGAGAACGGGAGAATTAGGAACAGGGAGTCGGACCAGCACCGTCCGAGGCCCCCTGGGAACACCAAGGACGAGCACAGAGCTGGCAGCTCTGCTCTGGTGACACCATCACAGCTGCCAGCACATCTGCACCCCCCCAGCTCTGCTCTGCAGCTGAAGACCTCACTTCCCCCCTCTCCCCCTCCCCAGCACCGTACCTGCTGCAGCCGCGTCTCTCCGGTCACGTTTGCCGGCAGCTGCTGTGGGATGGTGAGCTGGGATGGAACCTGCCACCCCACAGGGGACAGAGACCCCCAGAGCTGAGCCCAGAGCCGGGGGGTGGAGGGCGTGGGGGGGCCCTGCCCAGCCTCATGCAGCAGCTCCAGCAGCAGCAGGAGCAGCAGTGGTGGCCCCATTGCAGGCCGGTAACAGCCCCACAGCCCACCAGTAACCGCCCCACAGGTAACGGTCCCGCTGGTAACGGCCCCTCCCGCCCCTAAAGCAGAGGCCGAGGCAGAGCCTTGTACAAAACTGGCATCTTTATTGCTCGTTGGGTCCGTACAAAGGGGTTGGGAACAGCCCTTTGGCCAGAGCCCGGCACGGGCCGGCTCTGGGGGAGCACACGGGTTCGACCGCGGCCCCACCAGCAGCTCCAGACCCGCCCGGGGACAGGAATCCGTACACTTTACAAAAGAAAGTCAGTAGTCATCTTCAGCATTCAACACAAAACACTGGAGCCATTTCCTGGCCACGGGATCCCCCCAAAACCCCACGTCCCTGCCCTCGGCTACTCCAACGTGCACGCTGGGAGTGCAAGAACTCTTTGTCTTGTAAAGGCACCATTTTCAGCATAGTTTAGTTCAGACACACAGCGTCACACACAGCTGAGTACATCCCTCTGGCTGACTTCATTCCCTGGATCCCCTCTGACTGGGGCTAGAGATGGGCCAGCTGCAGAGCTGGTTGTGACAGACAGACAGACAGACAGACAGCCCAGGGGGAGCAGGACACAGCAACGTTGGGAAATGATTGATTATCTTGGAACAAACAGGAGACCCCCACCAGTACAGTTGGTGAAATTCTAGGTGACATTTTACAGATTTTAATAGTGTTATAAATCTTAGTCTAAGTTTATGGGAAACCACAGGAGTTCAAGTATTTTATTACTGCACACACTATATATATATATTTATATATGTATATACAGAGGAAAAGATGATTTTTTTTTGGCAATATTAGGGGGATTTTACAGACTGAGCTGTGCTTGTGGCGAGCACAGAGTGAAACAGCCCAGCATTCTCTTCAGCACTTTTAGCAAGTTGTGAAATAGATTCAACAACATCCAGCTTCTACCCACGGCTCCATAGGATCAGGATCACAGCTCCTCCTCCCCTCCCAGCACACTGAGCAACTCTGCTCAGGAGGAGTTCCAAACTCCAGTCTAGCCCGTGGGGCAGGAGCAGAGGGCAGTCTCGTCTGACACAAGGTGGCCTGAAAGCATCCTGACTGACACTACAAAGGTTTGGGGATTAAAAGAGGGGGTGCATCAGTCACCAGGTTCACGTTTAAGTGCACAGAGAAGCTCTGTTGGTCCAGGCAGAGACAATTCCTGTTTCCTAGTGTGCTGCAGGAACTGCTGCTCTGTCCTTAAACCTGAATTAAAACCTAACAGCACCCCGTTTTTTAAAACCAGAATATGGCCGTGTCTTCTCGTACCTTTATCTTCACTGCCTATCCATGTATTAGTGGGAATTAGTACAGGAGTCTCATTTAGCCAATCTCTAATTAAAAAGCATTAAACTCAGTGTCCCTATAGCACAGCTTAGTGTCAGTCAGCATGGAATTAAGGATTTAAGTGCATTATTACGCATCTATAAACATATATACATGCACAAACATGTTTAAAATATATCTCTCTTCCTCTGAAGAAGTCCACTGAGACCTCATTCCACTTGTGCCATCAAGGTGTACACAGGAAACACTTTCTAGTCCAAGCAGAGTAACGGTAAATTAACTGATCTCCTTGTTTTGCAAGCGGGTCACTCCGATTCCTCACTGCACAGTCAGAGAGATGACAATGAACCAGACAGTTTCCTTACCAGGGCTCAGGGCAGAAATGGGGAAACCCAAAGCGATGCCCACGTGCTGGATTTCAGGGCTGTTTGCCCCCAGGCCGCTGCGCTCCCGCTGCCAGCCCGGCTGCAGTGAGGAACAGGCCGGGTATCTCAGTCCCTGGAGCTTTGGTCGAGGTATTTATTAGTGTGAAGTCCTACATTCCTGGTTTGGATCTCTCCCTGCCCTGTCCCAGCTGCCACGAGGGGGACTGCCAACAGCTCAGCTCAGGGGAAGGCCCCAAGGAAGCCAAAAGCTATTTGGGAGGCAAAGGCGCCGGTCGGGAAGGGAAATACTGTCCCTGAGGTAAACATTTCTGCTGTGGCGGCCCCTGAGGTACGAGCTTCTGCTGCGGGGGTGGCGGCCTGCAAGAGGACAGAGGAGCTGCCATCAGTCAGGGGGGCTGCACCCACCACCCACACCCCTCACCCACCCAGCCACCAAGCCACGAGGTGAGGCGAAGGAGAAACCTCTCCCAGGGAGGAGTCAGCCCTGCCAGCACACGATGGGACACCCCAGTGCTCCCGGGGAGGGAGGCCAGGAGGGCAAACCCCTTCAGTGCCAACAGGTATTTGCAGTAACTCCACTGACCTGCTGGGCAGCCTGGGCGGCTGCTGCACTGGGTACTGTGGTGGAGGGTAGTAGGGCTGGTGGAAAGCCTGCTGAGGGTGCTGGTTCACTGGGTAAGCTGGGACAGGAAAGGTGTTTGGATCCATGTCCTGCTAAGAAAATATAACAAGAACGTTCACAAATTGCACGCAGGGAGTCGAAGTGTTTGTGCTGTTAGTTAAGTGTCACTCACGACCGCTAATTAGGAAATAAATATTCCCTCTGCTTCCTAGCAAAGGGAAGACACCATTTCCAGAACTGAAGAAGTAACTTTGAAGCTTTTATTAGGGCAAATATTATATAAAATACTATCATCTGTTACTTGAGATTAACCCAGCAACAGAGAGGGGATGACTCCTACCGTGGGCACAGCTCTTGGGGCGTAAGGCATGCCGTGGGAGAAGCCTCTGTGCTGGTAGTCCCTGGGTTCGGTGTCTGGCCGAGGAGGAGGTGACTGAAGTGACCTGAAATCCGATGGATAGGGACTGTGTGAGCACATAACCTGGACACAGTGACTGTGCAGGCCATGAGCCCTGACAGCTGGATTTATACTGTCTTATTAGACATCAAATGCCAGCAAGATAATATTTACCACAAGTCTAGTTAAACAACAACTCTCTGTTTAGGATTCTGAGAGCTTCCCTGGGACTGGGATACACCTCCACACCCTGGCATTGGCTCCTACACACAACATCCACAGAGCATTCCAAGGGCAGGGGAGAAGGTGGGAAGGAGAAGGCACTCACGAGTGGCAGCGGGACATCAGCCTCCTGAAGCATCGCTTCAGCCTGTCCCTCCTCACAAAGGCCAGAGCAGCAGCTACGAGGAGTGGCAGCACCAGGAAGAAGAACACCAGCAGCCCGTCCCGCAGAGAGGTGTCTTTGTCTGAGGGCACAAAACCGTGGAGAAGAAATAAGTCTGATGTGGTGCCACCACCGCCTGACTCATCAGTGGCAGTGAAGTGGTTCTACAACTGCTTTGCATTTTTCAAAGAAGAAAAACAAAAGAATCCAGTAAGACTGCAAGATAAATGCCCAAAGAGGTTTTTTTTCTGTTTATCTTTTCACAGGGATTGCCTGGTTGAAGATGAAAGAGCTGTACGTGCCATGACACCCCGGGCTACAACAGCATATTGAATTAGGAGATCAATCCTCATTTTTCATTACTGCAAAGATGTTACGAGAGAGGAAGACAGAGCTTCTGCCCTTTGGTCTGATCCTAAATCTTCCACTTCTCCAACCACTGTTTGCTGTAGGCAAAGAACTTGAGTTCTGAACAATCTCTACCTTTTTATATGCAGCAATTTCCCTCCTGCAGACTGTACTAAAACAGCCTTTCCCTTTCTTGTCTGATGATTTGAGGGATGTGCCCATGCTCCACCGTGATTATCCACTCTGTTACTGTATCACAGCATCCAGCTTTCCCTAACCCACATCATATTATGAAAGCAGTCCTCAGTATCATTCCTGCAGCTCACAGAAGCTATTACAACAATCCCATCTTTATATACTCCACCTGGACACAGCACAAGTTTTTTTTCCAAATTACAGATTGGCTTTGGCTTCCTATTTCATCTTCAAACCCTGTTCTGTCAGTCTGCTTTCTCACATGCAAGAATCGTGGTCCCCTTCACTGGGGCTTCCCTTCCCAGCCTGGAGAAGTCCAAGGTGGCAGAAATCACCCGAACTAAACCAGCCCAGGTCCTTGCAGATTCCAGCCCAGCAACCCGAGAGAGAGAGGTGCAACACCTTTACCCCAAAAGCTCCACTGGAATTGTTCACAAGTGAAACCCAGTGCACCAAAAACTCCACCCCCAGGGCAGCTGGCAGGGAGTGCCCGTGTGTGGGTGCCCAGCCCAGCCCCACAGCTCCCACCCCACTTGCCATTGTACGGGGGACCACTGTCCACGCTGCCTCCGTAGCCTTTGGTGTCACAGAAAGGGGGGGCCCAGCCTGCTTCACAGTGGCAGTTCCTGTTGTTGTTGCACACCTGTGTTCCAAAACACAAACACCACAACCCACCTCTGCTCAGTGACTTCCCTTTCCATGCAATTAGAGCAGCGAGCAGCAGCCACGACCTGCTGTGTCCTCCTGTGCTGCTCAGCCTGGAGAGCTTCACCCAGTAACTCCCACGTCAACTCCAAACAGTCCTTGGCCAGGCACCCCCAGATTTCACATGACTGAGCACACAGAGCACTGTTCAAGAAAAGCTTCCAAGGATTAGCTATCCCAACAGCTTACACACCATGGCTTTTGCTTGCCTCTTTTTTTTTTTTTTTTTTTTTGAGATGCAGAGTCAAATTTCATTAGTAATACTGGAACTGGGAATTCTTGCCTGGCAAAAAGAGTTTTGTCAAAGACTTTTTTTTGACACTGTTACAGGCTCTCTTGCCTAGAGACATTTTATAGAGAGTTTTGCAGCTCACACAAAACAGAAAAATAAAGTTACCAATCACCATTTAAAAACTTGCTGCCTTCTCCTGCCCCGCTTACCCCGTGCCCGTGGCATTGCTTCTCCACATCACAGTCGTAGTTCAGCACAGAGGCACTCACACACTGGAAGTGCCTGCAGATCTGGGGAGCAGAGATGCACGCAGATGAGGGAAGATGACACTTCAGTGCCCCCCTGCCTCCCCAGCTCCCTCCTCCCAGCGCGGGGCTCTGCAGCCACACAGTGCTCCTGCCACAAAGCCTCTCACACTCTCACTGATAAACCCCAACTCTGCAGAAACTCTGCTCCACAAAGGGCCTCTCAGCATGGGGCCTGAGCTGGCACTAGGGCCTTTTGTCTCTAGTCTGAATGTAAAGGAACAGCAATTAAATTGTGCCCAGTAAGGACATGTGGAATGCACATTCCTCTGCCGGGGCTAGGCCTCTGTGCTCTTTGGTTTAGTTGGATTTTAATTGAAAGCTGTCTTCAAGGCATTTGTGTGGGCCTGGCTCTTCCTGCTCATTGACAGAGCAAAGATTTTGGCTCTCAACAAACTCAATTTCTTTCGCTTCACCTCCAAGTGAAAGGCTCATTAAGTGTTTGATGCACATGCAGTGCAGTACTGGGCACTGGGGGGAATCAATGGGCTTGTTTAGTTTTAAATTAACTAAAGGCACCAAAAAATAGTGCCCATAAATATTCATGAAACAATGCAGCTGAAAATTTTATTCCTGTGAACATCCCAGATTATTAAATTAGGATATCACTTCTAAATTGTTAATTACCTTTCCATTACCACACTTGGTGCCTTCATTCACCATTCCTGGGTCTGGGACATCAGAGCCCAGCTGGAAATCCACCCCCCAGCACATGGTGTTTTTGATGGGAGTTTGGATAATAGCAGGCTTGATTCCAAACACAGGCATGGCTTTCACATTTTCACACTGCAGCTTCCCACACATGGCATTCCTACAACAGCAACACAGGAACACTGTAGTGACACTTGAATTCATTCTGAGAACAAGACTATCACACGTTCCATTTGATTTTTTTCTTTGTACTTGAAGATTCTACTTGAAAATAAAATTGAGGCAACTCAACAAATTAAACCGAGCTGGGCCTCATTTCAGTGCTGCAAGAGCACCCTTCTTTCTGGAAGCTGCTGGGATCTTTACATTAAGGACAACATGATGATTTACTGCTCCTTTGCCCACATGTGAGCCCTTGGGACAAGGCACAACCCACAACAGGATATGTGGAACACACTGTCCTCCCCACAGCCCCACATCCCTGCTCAGTGCACCCGCTACAGCATCCCAAACTGACACTACAGCACCCAAACACAGATTCCCAACGGTGCATTTCAGAACTTCCCCAGGCACCGGGCTCAACTCACCAGCTGGAACATTTCTTGTAGTCATGGCCATGGAAACCACAGTTGCCAAATCTGTCCCCCTTGGAATTCACTTCAGCAAAGCAAATGTTTGGGGCTGCTTTGGCTTCTGCAAACAACAGCCCATCCCCAGAGAGAGAAGACACATTAGCCAGGGACAGAAACATCTCACACCATGTCTCCCATACCCAAAGCAATTACTCTGCAGCAGGGAGCTTAGGAACTGTAAGGAGGTGACAGCGGCTCCAGGTTTAAACAGAGAGAAAAACTCACTCAACATTGAGTCAGTTCTATTTGATATTTCCTCATGGCTTCCTTGCAGCCCTGTAGAGCAGAAATCCCACTGCACCAGCAACAATCAGTGCAACAGAATCGCTGCTTGAACCCCCAGCACAGCACCAAGTGTGACACAGGAGCAACCTGCGGAGGCTAAGCCACAACCGCCGCTGTTTCCAATCCTCTGCCACAGCCAGCTCGAAATAAACTCGGGGTGTTCTTCAGGTACATCTCCCAGAGCGGCTGTAACCCTGTGCTGCCCCTTACTCGAGCCGAAGATGTCCTGGCACTGCGCGTCGTAGTACTGGCACACGCCGTTGTAGCAGTAGGCCTCGTGGTCGTGGCAGGGGTGCCCGTTCTGCACCGTGAAGTCGGGCTGGCAGAACTGGGACGTGCCGTTGCAGTACTCCGGCAGGTCACACTCGTTGTTGCTCGCCCGGCACTCGGTTCCTCCGGGGAGGAGCTGGAGGGAGAGGGGAGGGGAAAACCTCATCAGGAAACAGGAACCTCAGGGCAGGGACAAACACTGCACACACCCCCCAAACGGGCACTCGTCACAGCCCTTGTGGGGCTGTGGACTCGCAGGACACCTCCCTCTCACACAGGTGCACTTTCTCAACTCGCAAACAACATGCTGGAATCCCCTACCCGGCAGTTTTTGCAGCAGTCACCGTAGGCACACTCAGCGCCGGATCGGAGCCTGCAGGTTCCTGGCTCACAGCACGGATCGCTCTCACATTCCTGAGAACAGAAGCACTGTGAGTGTCACAAGACTGTCCCCTCTGAGCAAGGGTCACAAGGCTGCCCCAGCAGCACCGGGAAAATACCCAGCTACGAACCTTGGGTGAGCCACAGTCACACTCCTCCCCAGCGTCCACCAGCCTGTTCCCGCAGTATGGGACGCTGTAGGTCTCGTCAGGCCTCGGAACGTTGAGCAGGCAGCTCCCACCTTTGTTGAGTGTCAGCTTCTCAAAGTCCTCTGCGCTGCAGCTGCTGAAGTTCCTTGATCCCCTGCAACAGAGAACACGAGCTGAGCTTTACACTAAGAAAACCCACGAGCATCCCCTCTGTTTGCAGAGCAAGGGTAATGTTTGCTCTCCCCATGAGCTACAAGCACGACACTGCTCTCTGAAAGGGGAATTTGAAGACAGAAGTAATCCATAACAATGAAGTGCATGGATGAGGTGTTCTGACCCTCCTCTGCCTTCCCTGGGTCAGCTACTTACGATGCTCCAGAGCTCATAATGCAGCTGCTGGCCCCGCAGTGACAGACGCGTTCGTCATCGTGGTTCATCCCCAGGTTATGGCCAAGCTCGTGAGCCATGATGGATGCAAACATCTGGATACTGATCCTTCCAAACTGCACAGGAGTGAAACAGAAGGCAATCAGCAGAGAGCTTATACTGGCACAGTCAGTGTTTACCTATGTGCCAAAGAGACACTTCTGCTGTTCTGTCTCTACATTATCAGGGCTCTCAGACCAACAGTGCCGGATTTCCAATCAAGTGCCTGGAATTTGCTCAGTAATAAGAGCCTTCAGAGAAATCTCTTTGGGACACTACCCAGCAACCTCCACTTTCTAGAGCAGCTGCAATGTTAACACAAGAACTAGAATTCTCCACACCAGCCCTGATCTCCTGAAACGTGTGAATTCCAGCACTTCTGTCACTAGTCCAAGGAAACCAGATTGCTGGGCTTGCCAGTTATCCAAGACCAGCAGCTCAGTTCATTAAGGCTCTGCAATTCCACATAAAACAGGCAGTGAACTGGCACTGCTCAGGGAGGTCATGGCTGCAGGTTAGACAGCACAGGACAGACTTGAGAACACCCACAGCTCCCACACATACTTCCAAGCCAAGAGTGCTTAAAATACCACTGAGAAATCCTGTTCTTTCTGCATGAGTGTCAGAAATGGTTGAGGACAACACTAAAGCCCTCATTAAGCCACTTCAGCTTTGCCATGAAAGATTCTGCACTTCCAGGAAGACTTCTGGAGTGCAAAACTCTGCTCTTGCTCACATTCAGAGATCACCAAAGAAATCTCACCACATTAATGCCTCCTGCATGGCTCTTGGAGCACACTGTTCCCACGTAGGCCATTCCAGCTGTGCCACCAAACCCCTTCTTCCTACAGTCATGGAGAGAAAGGCAAGGCCATCATCTGACAGTTCGGACACTATTTAAATTAATATAAATATTAATTGAAAAAAAGTGCTTGCAGAAAGTCTTCCCTGCATATAAAAAGCTTCTCATTGCTCTCTTATTTTGTTCTTGAAGCTGAAGTGCCACAGCACACTTGCACCACATTTTACTTTGTGCAGAAGAACTTCTAAAATTAGTATTTTCTCAGCCATTTCCCCCATCATCTGCACGCTGCTGTTCTGCCTTGGAGGGGAGGAGGTTCCCAGCTCCCAGAGGAAGGAAAGGGCAGTCTGGGTTGTGCTCTTGCCTCTGCCCCTTCCCTGCTTTGGGCAGTGACTTCCCAAGGCCTGTGCTATCTGCAGGAGGAGGAAGTGCACTGGGGCACACGTCCTGGAACAGGGCAGAGAACAGCTCAGGAAGCTCTGGGCTTGCTTAAGGCAGCAGGGACAGACAGATTAACATCCTGTGCCAAACTCCAACCACGTCACCGGCTTCTGGACACCAGCTGCAGAAACAACCTTTTCCCTGTTAAAAGGCAACGCTCTGCACCACGTTTGTGCTCATTTTCAAGTGGAAAAGGCCCTGGGTGACAAGCCCAATCTGTTACTAAGTGATTATCTGAACAAAAGTACAACACAGAACACTGTAGGACATGTGGGATGAGGAAAAAAATGTGCTTTTTATCGCTACACCTGTCAGAGGGCACTGAAATCAGAGAGCACGGAAACCTTCCTAAAAATGCTTCGCTTGGCTTGGAATGTTTTCACAAGACAAACCCCTGCAGATTGCCCAGCAGCTCCTTTTGGCACAACAGCTGGGCTGAGCAGGCAGGAACAGAAGGAGCTTGTTGGTACCAAAGGGCAGGGGTTGGCACTCACAGGACTAACTGGGCACTGTCGTGTCTCCGCCGCAGGACCAGGTTCTTCTCTCGCCACTGCACGAAGTTTGCCAGCACATCCCCGGCCCCCCCGTCCGTGCTGATGATGTTCTCGTACTTCCAGATCTCCAGACCGACCAGCACGATGCGGATGTTCAGCATGATGTACATCTGGGGAAGAAAATAATGGTTATTAATAAAAAGGAATATTTATTAATACCTTCAGCTAAAAACACGTGGCTTGGTGTTGCAGATCTTAATGCAAGTATCCACCTCTTCTGTGTGAGTCTGATTTTTTTTCCCCCCACAGCTAGCACACAATTGGAATCACCAGAATGCATTTGCCCTGTAATTTAGACCCTCATTAGGTAAAGAATCAATGCTTAAATGCCACACTGTAAAAAAGGCACCAAACAGAAAGAGTTCCTTAAACTAATTCTCCAGGTGAATTTAGAGGTGGAAAAGCTTCCACGGTGATGCATTCCCTAAAATGGTACCAGAACAGACCCTGAGGTGGAAGTTTACAAAGGGCAGCAGGGTTACAGCACACAGCACCCCTCCTACTCACACTGTCGAGGAAGTTTGCCAGCTGCACCATGTGTTCTCTTACTTCTGTTTCGCTCTTCCCAAAATCTTCAAACTGCGAGACAAAAAAAGGTAGTCATGAAGAGAAGAGGTCCACTCCTGAGGGGAAGAAAGGGAAAGCCACACACAGTCCCTACCTTTTCTTTATCCACAACTATGAACAGCTCCACATATCTTGTCTGGTGCAGGACTGCTCTCTTTCTCTGGGGAAAAAAAGTTTTAGGCAACTTCAGTTTTACGAATTCAAATGTAAACAAGAAAAAAAACCAACTCATGACATTGTCATATTTCACTTGATACAAGCAGTGGTTTGAGACACACCCAAAGCACACTGTGCCAAACACAGGCAGCGTAATCCAGTGCAATGGCCTGGATTTCTGGCTTTTACACTAAAACTCAGCTTGCACAAAGACTTTCTGTGTCTCAAAAGCAAGGGATCTTTTCACTCTCCACACAGGTTGCTTTGAAAGGGCAGCACACACTTTTATACAGGGGCAGAGAGATACTACAAGCAAACGCCAACAACCTTTCTCATTCTCCTGCTTTCAGCTGGAATCTGTTCCTGTACAGCCAGTCCTTGAAGGGCAAGGGGAACCTTCACACCAAACTGCTCTTGTGATGGTGAGGAGGATGGAATAAACACCACAATATTCTCCTGGCTCCTGATGCAGTACTGCCTTCACAAGCCTCTCCATGAGGGTGGTGTTCCTGGCCTTAAAAGCCTCCCCTAAAAAGCCCAGGAATATTCTAACCAGCTGCCCCACACTCACCACCCCGTGCAGAGGCAGAAGGAAACTGCAGGTGCTTTGGTGAAGGAACTGAGTTCTCCAGCAGTGCAGAAACCTCCCAAATCATAAACCTTTAGCTATGTGCTAAGCCCGAGGAAATCTGCTAAGCTGCTTCCATACTCTTAGGTGAACTCACAAAACCCATTACAGGGGACTGGGGAGGACTTACCCGGAGCAGCTGGGTCATACTGGGATGGGGATTTCCCTCTGCCTGCTCCTGTTCCGGGCCTTCAGCCGTCACTCCACACGTCGTGGGCTCTTTCTTCACGTTCTCCAGCCGATATAAGATGTGTTCAGAGCCAGAAGAGGAATCCATGGGCTCAATCCCGTAAGTGACATTGCCTATTGTCACCAAGCCCCTAAAACACGGCAGTGTGTGAGAAATCCAGCACTAAGCACAGAGGACAGTTACCCAGAGAGCAGAACAAAGGAACAGTTATTCCTGGATAACCAAGGCCTGCCTGTGTCTCAGTCCTTGCAAACCAGCACACTTCACTTCAGGCCTGGCAGCAGCCTGTCACTGGAGGGGGGCCTTACAAATCCAGTAAATCAAGCACTTCTCCAGGGGTCTGCAGTGCCCCAGGAACTACATCACAGGCCTTAAGCAGAAACGCTTTAGTTCAAATACACTATTGCCCCTCTGCTGCCTGGCATGGCCCTGCAAAAAAATCAGTGGCTCAAAACATAAGGCAATCAGACCAAAGCAGAATAAATTTCAGTCAAACTTGAGCTGCACAAGCTTTAGGGCCAATTTGGTTAAAATTTGCAGACTAGTGTTTGACTTTTCATTTCTGCACTTAGGTCCAGTTCCTTGTTTGTGACCATCTGTGCAAACCAGAAAATAAGACAAATTTGTGTCAAGACCAACTTACTGGGAACAAACTGCAGTAATAACTTACTTAATGGTACTTCAAATATCTGTCAACTCCATGAATAAAAGATGCCAAAGGACAACAGCACCAAGGCAGCTCGGCCTGGCCAGTGACTCCCTGACTGGCTGAGCTGCAGTTAAAACCAGCAGAAGTGGGTTTCAGGTTCAGCAGCCACAACACGACAGTCAGGACACAGAGGATGAATTGTACTACCTGAGCCCCGAGCAAGTGCTGACAGCCACCACGGAATCCAGGGTCCCCTCCACGTATCCCTGATAATGGCAGTGATCCTGGATGGGAAAACAAGGGCGTGTTACACACGTGCTCCAGGTGTACCTGCACGCCCAGGGTGATCTCTGATCTACCACTGACCAGCTGTGACTACAACCTGAGAAAACGAAAGCTTCCAGTTAAATTTACCACACACCTGCAGCTTCTAACATGGTTCCAGCTCTATCACATTTGCTCACATGCATCTGAAGATTTCCCCACCTGCCTTGGTCCCACAGGGACTGATGAACATGACAGTAATCAAGGACAGGACACAGGACCCAACAGGATCCCTGCTCCTGCAAAGCAGACACTCCTCCCGACTCAGTGGGGCCAGCAGCTCACTATGGATTTCAGTTTGAAGCCCCCCTGGCCCCCTCAGCCATTCCCTCTGCTGCCAGACTCAGAGCTGGCGCTGCCCACACGTGAGGGACTCCAGGCGAGCGGGCCTGGAGCGTTATCCTGGATTTCTTAACTCGACCTAGGCTACCCTTCTCCTGTTCCAGCCTCCACCCTGCCTCACACATTTCGAGGCCAGCCCCTCCCTGCAGATTTGGGCCAATTCAGCCTTCTGGCAAACAGTCCTGGCTCATCCACGGCCTCTCTGCAGCAGGAGGAGGGACGAGACCTGCTGTCCTCACCCACCAGCGCGGCACTGCCGGCGCTTCCTGGCTCTGTGGTACAGCCCTGACAGAGGGAACACTCCACTGGGCCCTCTGTACTTACATATCTTGGAAACTGGACAAGGGCAGCATGGGGCAAACACACTCCATTTTCCCCATTTTTGGACGCTGCTATAGGGGTTTTATTATACAGATTCTGTCACCTGTTGCTCAGCAAGGAAAGCAGAAAGCACTTAAGGCATGTGCTAATCCTTCAGGGCCACTGTGACTACTCTCATGACCTTGTGCAGAAAAAGCATTTTTCCTCTACTCAGTTCCTTTTAACTAGGAAGCAAATACTCCGTTGACTCAGGTGTTCTGCTTTCAGGAACAAGATCCTATGAATCATGTATGACTAACACTTCCCTCTCAAAGGAAGAGTGAAGCCATTAGAAATACCCTCATGCATTTTGTATCACACAACCTGCTCTTTACTCCTATTCTCCTGAAGCAGATACATCTCCAAAGGCAGCCTGTCAGGCAGGCTGGTACAGAAGAGGGTTGCAAACGCTCTTTCAGGGGAGTAACTCAACGCTACGCAGATCACATCCTCTCAAAGGTCCTCCAGCCTTCATCTCAATCATCCCTTCCAGCACTCCCCAAACCTCAGGACTAATGGATCGCCTGTCAACCCCCCAAAGTCGTCAGTCACCAACAGGCAGCCCCACTGAATGGAAGGGTCAGCAGCTGACCATTCACGTTGGCTCGGGGACCCGTCTGGAAGCCCATTGTGTGTAAAAACAAAAGCAAAGCTGCCTGTGCAGTCCCCAGAGCACCCAGTGCTGCCCCACAGCTCCTGACCTTGGGAGAACGAAGGCAGAAGTGACACCAGCCCCACGCTGGGCTGTGTGACAAGGACACAACTGCTCTGATAACGAGACATCGACAGCTGAGAGCAGCACTGCCTTCTGGAGAAGAGCAGCTTTTAATGAGACAGCAACCACCTCCACATCAGAAAATACATGTCTGTTACAGGCTAGAGCCTCATCCAAAATCAGGGATTCCCTCCAGGAAGAGGGCAGTGGGTCCTGAAGGTGGCCCAGCAGAAAATACAACTATCCTTTTGTAATCCCTGCCTCCCTCATCCCGTAGATGCTCAGCGTTCCAGTCACCCTCAGTGAGGGCATGAAAAGAAAGAAGTCCTACCTGGACATCTGGATATTCCAATTGCAATTTTCCCTCCTTGTTATAGGTATAAACTGTGAAATCTTTGGGCAGCAGTTCTCTGCAAGGAAAGGGGAGAAGGAATACAAGAGGAATTTCATGAAATGACATTTGAGCAGAGCACTAAGATGGTCCTAATCAAAAGTGTGGCAAATATAGTTGTGTCTCTATCACAAGGGCAGTTTGGAGCACCAGTGGCCACGTGCTGGTGCTGTAAGTGGCCCTTGAACACTTCAACCCCAGACTGACAGCATCTGTCTTGGCTGTGAGCTGTCAGTATTCAGGCCTTGGATAGAAAGTCCATTTCCTCCTTTATTAGTGTCCTTGTGCCACTGAGACAGGAAAAAACACAAACCTAAAGCAATAAATAAAATCCAGACAAAAGTGAAAACATTTACTCGAAATGCAGTTCAGCTTGTTTATTTTTAGCTGTGAATGGAAAGAGTCGCGTCCACGATTTCCCAGATCCCCTCTGAGCAAACTGCAGCTTCCTGCCCTGAAAGGGGATCCCAGGGCTGCAGGAATCCAAAAACATCTCTGGCTGATGGCCAGGACTCTGGGACTCAATCTCTTCCCTTTTTGGGGACGTTCCTGCCCTTCCCACAGAGAACCCCAGGAAATGGAACCCATGTGCTACCTGCCAGCTTGTCATCTGGACGCAGCAGACTGAATAATTCAATAATCTAAAGAAACTCAGCACTTACTTGTTCTTTTCAAGATGAATGGTATATTCCTGTCCCTCGATCTCAATAGCATATGACACTTTGTCCTGAATATAAAAAAAAAAAAAGTTGCATTTTACTCCTGCCAATGAAATAAAACACTCTTAGAAATCCACAAAAGCAGTGGTGAGCCTGGAATCTATTTTATAATTGCCCCTGCCTCCAGAACCTGGCATTCCTTACTGTGGATGAGTCTGACAGCATTCCATGAGCATTTCAGGCCAGTTTTGGGTGGATCTCGTTAGGAACTAGACACTAAACTGAAGGTAAGAATGCCCAGTACCTGCACTGAGGAGCTGTTGGAAGCCTCTCGCCGTTCTCTTCCCAACCTCTGCGGGGTTACAACTTCATAGGAAGAGAGCAGGGAAATCTGCTGGAAACCTGGAAGGCAGAAGAGAAACGCTGGCTAAAGGAGCAAAGCAAAGCAATCACAAGCACGAGGCACAGGGAAGAAAACACTATTTCAGGAAAAGCAGAGGAAACCTCACAATGAGACATGCTCGGATTGCCTTGTAAGAGGCCAGAGAAAACAACACACAAACAGCAGAGAAGACACCAAATTTACCAGAAAGTTTCAAAACTAAATCTTCACGTGGCAGTTACTGTCTCAGCAGTGCCCATCTCACACACCACCACTCTCCAGCAGCAGGAATGGGAGCATTTAAAGGGGGTCAGTGCAGCGAGGACTCGCTCAGGGATGCACAGGCAGTGCCACACCAGGTGCCCTGTGCTGCAGAGCTGCAGAACTGCCCTGGCTCAGCCTCGTGGCCTCTCTCGAGGAGCTCCAGCAGCTCCTGCGCTTCCCGACAGCTCAGCCTCACACCCTCACCCCGCTCAGCACTGCCAAACTCCTGACGCCAGCCTGCTGCTATTCATCATGTTCTTAAACAGCTCTCGAGGGCCTCATCAAAACAACCGAGGTGAAACAAATCCCTGCAACAAAGTGGCAGCCACAGGTCCCTTTATGTGTTATTTGCATATGCAACATCAGGCAGATCCCCTGAACAAAACACAAATCCAGAGTTCAGGCTCCCTTCATGAAACACCAGGCTCTGCAAGCAACTCTTTTACATCAGCTGTGTAAACAACAATAAATTGCACATGCAGATTGCTCTTCCCATCATGGTGGCGTCTGGCAGTGCCTGGCTGGGAAGCTGCTCCCCCAGGAAGCAGGAGGTTGGTCGCCCAGGATCGAAGGCAGGATCCAGAGCAGTGGTTTTACTGGCTCATGGCAATGGAATCAATGAGCTCATCAGAGGAGCCTGAGCTTCCCGACAAAGGTAGGGGGAAGGGAACAGTTATCCTAACCACATCTGGGGCAGGTGAGCCAGCGTTTGGTGTCCGAGATACTCCAAAAACTCTCCGGTGGGACTAGGATGCTGAATCCATTTGAAACCAGCCCCTCTGGGCACACCAAAACTCACACCACACCTCCAAAGGGCCTTTGGCTTCCCTAGTTAAATGACAGCTGTGTGGGCTCAAAGCTTCACAGGAGGCCTGCTCCACACATTGCACTCGTGCCCAGCCCCAGGCTCCTGCAGGTCACTGCTCTGCACTTGTTCCTTCCCCCTGCCACCCCCAGGTGCCCATTGCAGTGGGGATGGGACACTGTGGCACCTGGGTCGGGTTCTGGAGGTCTCAGGGCACAGGTCACACCAAGAGCAGGGCACAGCCAACCCTCACAACCTTCACAGCACTTGGAACATGACACGTCTCCCCAAGAGCTGCTTGGAAGCAGAAGACAAAGAAGTGAATCATCACATGAAGCAGAACTGGGAGGGATTTCTGGGAAGAGAGCAACTCCAAGAAGATCCTCTTAGAGCAGAGGCACTAAAAGAAGCCAATTTTCAACTCTCTGAATACTCTGACAATTCTTCTCCCCCTTTCTGCCCTCCTTCGCTCCCTTCACCCCCTCAGTTTGGGAGGTGATGGGGAGCCTCCAGTAGGTATCTCCCTGGCACTGCCCCTCACTTCACAAATAACCTGTTTCCATGCTGAGTGCAACATGTTTGAAGATACTGATATTATCTGTCCCCAAGATAAGCTGCTTGTTGTAGCTTCCTCTCCGCCCTTTTGAGAAACTCCACTGCAGTACATTACTGGTTCTCAAGCACAGCCATTTGCAATAAATTTTTCAGCAAGTTATAGGACTTCTAGTCCTCAGGTGCTTCCTGCCAGTGGCCAAGGCAGCTGTCAGAGCTGTACCACGTCACCACTGAGAACACGCTGCTGCTGCTCCACTCCTGGCTGGAACACAGGTAGAGATTGTGTTTCCAAAGAGAAAAACACCATTGCATCCGCCACGTTTATCTCATCTCATCTCATTAAAGGCTGCCATTAATTACCAAGCATTGGAGGCAGCTAGGAAGACGTGAATCATCTTCCCCTCCCAGCCCCAAATCCACCAGAGGAATTCTGTGCATGCCCCATGGCATGTGGGAGCCTGAAAACCACGGGAACACCTCACAGCCATAACGGCTCCCCAGACACTGAGGTGAGCTCTTGGGGCGTTCACTGCCTGACAGGTGAGGTCTATATTCAGCAAAGGTCATTCCTGTCCTCCTAGACCTCGGCATGCCCACGGATTGCTGGCTCAGTTACAGTCCCAGCACACAGCTACATCCACCTACACTCACACTTCCCCTCAGTTATCATCCTTCCTGGGCTGGGACTCCTTCCCAAGCCTACCAAAGGGAGGTCAATGGAATGCTCCTCAGTGGAGGCAAAAGAAAAAAAAAAAAAAAATCAGAGTGTGGCTTATTACACCACCAAACCAACTAATTTCATCAAAACAAGCTCATCAGCACATGAGCAGCTCAGCAGCTTGGGCTGCAGGCAGATGCTAACACAGAACATGCCATAAACCCCACAGAGGAGGGGGATTGTTGGACCCAAACCATGCTAAACCCAGAGCACCAGTTCACAGCAATCAGTTCTAATCTTCCATCAACCACGCAGATGAGTCAAAAGATGCACATTGCTAAAGCATTAAATACCCAAACTCATTAAATTACCCCGGTTATCATCAATTAGCCGAGGTCAGCCACACCAGTCCATCCTCACTCTGGCAGGGGATTGCTCACCAGAAGTGCCAAAAGCCTTACACACCAACCAGCCCATCGGGGCCCAGGGCAGGACCAGTTCCACACAGAGCAGCTCCCCCAAGCACCCTGATCTCCAACAGATCACATTCATTGTGCTTTAAGCTGTACCTCTAATCCCCACAGGAGGTGAACAGTTCACTCCCTTCTCTCTGGCTGCAAATCTTTAGACTTCCAGAGTGTGCTGTCACACTTCCCTCTGGAACACCAATATTCAGTATTTCCTTGTGCAACCTGTATCTTACACCTCTGCCTGTTCTGGCTCCACTCTCCAGTCAGCCCATACCTCTGCCAGAAAAGGATCCACAACAGAACACAACATCCCAGTGAGACCTCACACATGCTTTGGGTGTTTATGGATGTCCACAACACATGGCACGTGGCTGATTCACTTGCCATTTAACCTACTCCAACACTCACTTCCTTTCCGGCCAACACAATCCTTGCTCCCCATTTTTCACCCTCTCATACTCGTGATCTGGTGCAGGCAATTATTTCCACCTCAGCAGAACACTTTGCACTGTCCTTTCAAAGCCACTTCTTTCTGCCAGATACTTCTCTGTGTCCAAATCACTAGGATTGCTATCCCTGTCTTTAAGGAGCCTGAATCCCAACTGGCTGGAAGGGTACCAGCTGCCAGATCAATCTGCATTCTCCCTATCCTATTTTCAGAATCACGAAGGACTCTGCCAAGCAGTGTCTGTTTGAGGAGAAACTTCCATGGCCTGGCTTACAGACGTCCTTCAGAACAACAGAACCTCCACTGCCTCCTCAGTGGATTTCTCCAAGCAATGACACACCAGGAAAAGCATTTTTAGGTGCAGTTGACTTTTCCACTAAGGTCACAGCTGTAGCAGAATTTACTCTTCGGATTACTGGAATCAAACACCTCCTTCACTTTCATTATGTAAATATTATTCGAGTCCACTTAAAAAATGTTTAGAGGTTTATACAACACACAAAGCTAGTGAGTCTTCCACTAAAAGTAGGAACATGTCCTGTGGAGCCAGCAGTTCCAGCTCCTCCCATACCTCAGAGTGCTTCATCTTCAAAGCACCCAGCAACATCTGGCCAGCTGTTCTTCTACAGGGCAGAGTACTTGAGACTCCTCTTTCCATCTATTCCCTGCCCTGCGCTCAGTCCTCAGACCTGCTGGGTCTCCTGCTGCCCTGGTGCCTTTCAGAAGGCAGGAAGAGATGACCAACCATCCTGGCAAGGGAGGCAGATTATCTGCTTGCTGTGTTGCTCACCTGGAATATTTGTGTAACATGAAAGCTGGCCAGAACAGTTAATGCAGTTTCTCTCAGTATTCCACTGGGGGTGTTGGACACTGAGGAGGTTTCAGGGCTCTTCCACAGCAGTATTTCCTAGAACGTTCTTACCTTCCCCTTGCTGAAATCCAGACCTATGCTGTAAGTGTTTCCTGTCTAGACTCTCCCCGTTCCTCCTGCCCTTCCTAAAGCAACACTGATTTGCCTGCAAGACAACAGCTCCCCTTGTTCCACAAAAAGGACTGTCACACGTGCCTGCTGGGACTGTCACAGCATCCTCTGCATCCTGGGACCTTCTCACAAGGAGAAGCAGGGCAAAGCCCAATACCCTGTGGAGGAAGATGAGTAATCCCACCGGGACACCCCTCCTCTGCATCAGTGGCCCTGAAGTCCCTTCCTTCCACCCGTGACAGCGTGTCCATGCAGAGCAGCAGAGCACACTGAGCCCACTCACTTCCTCCCCATCTCAGCAGCTGTGTCAGCTCTGCTCACACAGCAGAGTCCATGGGAACCTTCCCTCTGGAGACATCGCTGGCTTCGTGCTTGGCCACCAAAGGGAACTGTAATGCACTGTTTCTTTTTTTAATTTTAGCTTGAGAAATGAGAACGATCAAGATGTGCAGAAACTCCAAAGTCATGGTTCAAACCTCCTTTTCCTGAAAGCAAAGCTCTACAAGAGGCAACGTTAGCCACACTGAAATGCCTTTCTTCTCATTACTCCTCACATGGAGGAAATAACCACAAACCCCTTTATTCTGCTGAATGATTGTCTCAGATTTGTTGAAATATGGGTGAGGCAGTGCTCTGTTTTCCACGATCTGAACAAAAGAATTATCTTAACCAAACACCCTGAAATTCAAACCCAAGCGTTTAGACACTTTAGGAATTCCTTCAAAAACTGGTAAAGTATGGCTGGAACATCCTGGTGTGTGTGTGACACCAAGTATCAAGGAAGAGATCAAGTGGCAAAAAACACAGTCCCTGCCTATGCTTTCTTTTTTAATTCACACAGCCAAGCCCTGAGGCCTCCTGTGGACACAAATAGGAGAGGAAAAGCCACACTCCACAAATCCCTTAAGGCTACACATCACTGTGTGATTATGATCATTCAGGAAGTTTCAATTAATAGTTTCTGGTAACACTGCATTTCTTCCCCATCCTTATGTGTGTACAAAGCACTTGCATTATAACCCAAAAGGAGGTTTCTGCCCTCTCCTTCATGCTCAGACTTCAGACGAAGGGGGTTTGTTATGTTTCATGGCAGGTTTGGCATTATTAGCTGGGACAGAGGTTTCCAAAGGCAGAGAGGACCCACGCCTGCCAGCAACACCACTATAAGTGAAAGAAGAGATTCCAGCACAGAATCCCTCTAGGAGAGGCACCCAGCACATGAGCACTGTCCTCAGCATGAGGCACCAGTACCTGCTTTAGAGAAGATTCCTCAGTTGGGAAGCCCTGCCTATAAAAACATGCATTAATGACAAACACAGAAGTTTAACTCAGTATGTGTGTCCCTCCAGGAGGGGGAAATGATGAGAGAGAGACAGTTCTGTCTGTCCTGTATGTATAGCCTTGAATCAGCACCGTAAGAGCCCATAAAACAGAATGGTCTCAATTCACAAACTGCCCCCGAGGACACACCAGCAACAACTCCTTAAAAGCCACACCAAGAGCACGGTGTGAGCGTGTCCGAGTCCTGCCCCCAGTCCCCGGGGACAGCAGTCCGTGGGGTCCTCGATGGCCAAGGCCACCCACCCGAACAGCCCTTCCCGGGGGAGCTTTGCCTCCTGCCTCGCCAGAGCCTGCGATCGCGCCTGGCAGGGAGGGCTGGGACGCGAAGGGGGAGCGAAGGGGGAGCGCTCCCGGGCACCTGCGAACTCGGGCAGGTGCGAGGGGCCCCGAGCCCACCCCCGGCACCGCCCCGCGCGTTCCGGGCTCCGTGGCGGCCCCTCCGCACCAGCCCGGCCCGGGAGCACCGACGATCCTGAGCAGGGCCGGCCCGCACAGCACCTCCTGCTGACACGGGTGACCCCCCGTGCCCTCGGAGCCCCCCGCACCGCGGGGCACACAGACGGGACCCCCCGCTCCGGCCAAGGACACGGGCAGGGGGGTGGTCCCCGCCCCACCTGCCGCCCCTCGGAGGGGAGGGGAAGGGGATGCCAGACCCCCGCGCCCCCCAGCTGCCCCCGGGGATGCCGAGGGAGGCCCGACCCTCCGGAGAGGACGGGGAAGGGGGCGCGGGGATCGGGGGCCGGAGGGGGCGCGGGCGGCAGGCCCGGCCCGGCCCGGCCCCGCGCACTCACCCGCGGGCTGCCCGGGCGCGGCCGGCGGCGGCAGCAGGAGGAGGAGGACGAGGAGGACGAGCAGGAGGTGGCAGAGGCGGCTCCGGGCCCGGGCCATGGCGGTCCCCGCCCGCATCACCCCTCCCGGTGGGGCGCTGGGTCCGGCCGGCGGCCCCGCGGCCTTATGGAGCCGGACCGGGGCCTGCGCTGCGCTGCACCGCCCCGGGGCGGGGCTGCCCGACCGACCGCCCCGGCACGGCCCCGGGGACAGCCCCGGCACGGCCCCGAGCCCCGAGCATCGGCACGGCCCCGGGGACAGCCCCGGCACGGCCCCGAGCCCCGAGCATCGGCACGGCCCCGGGGACAGCCCCGGCACGGCCCCGAGCCCCGAGCATCGGCACCCACCGGGACACCGGCCCACGGGCAGCACCACTGCCCCGGATTACCCGGACGGCAGCCTCGACTTTCCCAGTGCTTTTAGGGATTAAAACCAACCAAGTCCCCAAAGCGACGGGGAAGGAAAATGCCCGCGAAGGGAGCTGGTGTCAGCACGGACGCCTCCGCCTGCCCAGAAAACTGCCCTGCACGTTGGAAGCACAGAATCACAGGATGCACTGAGCTGGGAGGGACCCACAGGGATCATCCAGCACAATTGCTGGCCCTGCACAGCCCCAGAAATCTCACCCTGTCCCTCAGAACACTCCTGGAGCTCTGGCAGCCTTAGGGCCGTGACCACTGCCCTGGGGAGCCTGTTCAGCATCCAACCACCCTCTGGGGGAAGAACCTTTTCCCAATACATTGGAAGCACATGGAACACAACACAGCCAGGCAATACCACAGGTACAGGTGAGTGAGAGAAACTCCCCAGAATGAGACACTGTCACAGACTTTGCCCGCCATTGCGAGTGTCAGGCGTGGCCCTGCCCTGCCAGGGCATCCTCGGAGCTCAGCATCTTCCCCTGGGAAAAGCAGGAATAAACAACGTGTGACACATCCGTCACGTCACACATGGGTGATGGAGGAGCAGCACAACAGATGGTGTGTGAGAGCCCAGACAAACATGACACTGAGGTTCCCATCTCCATCCTTCCAGACAGAGCCTGCACACAGTGCTCGAGTCAGGGGATGAATACCCAGTGCCTGGGCATTGCCCAAGGTACAGGAGGCTTCCCATGGATTATGATAATATCATGGATCACATACAGATACCTCTGTGCACTGTACAAATAATGCACAAACATGAATCATCCCGTGGTTCCTGCCTGAGGGGCAAGAGATTCCAAGGTCCGTATGTAGCAAGAGCCACATCCATCTCCACTGGCTTCTCCCATCACTCAGCACCACTATTGCAGCCCTGCAATACAAGGAACTGAAGACAACACCCCTTGAGGTTCCAGAGACAAGGCCAGACAGCTGGGACAGCTCCTGAGCACACAACTGGGGTCAAATAAAATCCCTGCTCAGCTGCTCAGCCAGGTGGAACGCACCTGGGATGCCCACATCCACAGAACTGTTGTTCAGGCTCGATGGGAGATTCTCTGGAATAACCAGGTGAAAATACCCAATAAATCCTGGAGCTCTGCAGTATCTGAAGCCACAGGTGAGACCTTGGAGCCGAGCTCTGGACTGGGGCCATTCGCTGCCTCCAGCACGGGCTTTGTGACTAGAACGAGGCAAAGTGAGAAACCCCCTCGCCCTGGGATTACCTGATATTCCAATAGGGATGTTTCTGTCTCTCCAAGGCTGGGATAGGAGCGATTCTCCCTCCTGCCATTGGCCGCCAGCCCTGCTGGGCAGCCAATCACCTCCTCTGCTGGCGCGCAGCCCCTTCCGCGGCTTCTTCCGCCTTCGCTCTGATTGGCTGGGGGTGGCCCGGCGGCGGGCGCCCATTGGCTGCGGGCGGCGCGGCCCGGGGCCGGGCGGGGCGGCGGTCCCGCCATGGCGCCGCCCGTGGGGTACGCGCTGCTGTGCGGGCAGGCCGCGCTGCTGCTCGGCAATCTGCTGCTGCTGCACGGCCGCGGCCTGCCGGGCAACGACACCGAGCCCCGCGACCCGCCGCCAGGGCCGCCCGCCTCCGCCTGGGCCTACACGGACCCGCGCGCGCCGCTCGTCCTGTGCACCTACCTGTGAGCGCTGGGCCGGGGGCGGCGGGGCGGGAGCGGCCCAGCCCGGGCCGCCCTCACCGGCCGCTCCCTCCCCGCAGCCCCGAGGAGTTCGTGGAGTGCGACGAGCCGGTGGACCACGGCGGGAACGCCACGGCGCAGCAGGAGCTGGGCCACGGCTGCGTGAAGGTGAGGGCGCGGCCGGGGGCGGGGGGCGGCCCGCGGAGCTCCCCCCGGCCCCGCTGAGCGCTGCCCCCGCCGCAGTTCGGCGGACAGGCCCACGGCGAGGTGGACCACACGCGGGTGCAGTGCCGGGCGCTGGACGGCATCGAGTGCGCTGAGCCACGGAGCTTCCTGCGGGGCAGCCGGCCCTGCGTCAAGTAGGAGCGGCCCCGCGTCCCCCAGCCCCGCTGCCCGCGGGACGGAGCCCCCGCCCCGGGCTGACAGGGAAGGCTGACACCCCCTGACCCCTCCGCCTCTCCCCTGGCAGGTACACCGGGCACTACTTCATCACCACGCTGCTCTACTCCTTCTTCCTGGGCTGCTTCGGCGTGGATCGGTTCTGCCTGGGCCACACCGGCACGGCCGTGGGGAAGCTGCTGACCCTGGGGGGCCTGGGCATCTGGTGGTTTGTGGATCTGATCCTGCTCATCACCGGAGGGCTGATGCCCAGCGATGGCAGCAACTGGTGCACCGTGTACTGAAGGAGGGGTAGGGCTGGAGCCCTCCCTGGGCACCTCCCCTGGCTCCCAGCACAGCCCAGACTCTGCCTGGCACAGCGTGGACTGACAGGGCTGGAACTCACCGTGCAGAACAGTTACTCTCGTTAATGCCTCTGTACAAACCTTGGACACAATGTTGGTCAGTGTATATTTTGCTTATTTAAAATAATCTGGATTCTCTCCCCCCCCACACACCCCCCCACAGTGACAGTTTAAGAAATCAGACCTTGCAAACAGAGGAGGTCAAACAAACCTTAATAAAATCTGGAAGGAGCTGACTCCACGTCCTCTGGGGATTAATTGAGTCAGCCACAGAGAGATGGAGGCCAGCCCCAGCACCCTGGTGACCTCATGGTAAGGTTGTCCCTGTTACAGGGACTCTCTGGCAAAGCATCCAGGAACTATCAGAGTGCTGGGAAGGGCCCTGAGCTGCCAAGGGGCAGCTCCTGTCCATGTGCCAGGCATCCCCCCCAGCCCCAGCGTGGGGTGCCTGTGGGAGATGCAACAGCCTCGCTTCCGAAAGAGGAAGCCCCACCAGCTGCAGGCTGAGAACTTACCGAGCTGAATAAAAAGGGAAAAGGAAGCTGCAGCAAGTCCCAGCCAGGGCCAGACACAGAAATCCGTGTATGCAAATGTCCGGTCACACTTGAGGTGAACCAGCAAACACACACTCCTGGTCTCACACAGCTCTGCAGGCTGAGGTCCCTCCAGCCCTTGGCCTTTGGCCACCTTCTGCCTGCAGTTCTACTCCTGTGGAGCTGCCCTGGGGCTCAGTTGGCCTGGGAGCTGTTGCTCAGTTAGGTCACCACTGATCTGAGCTTGGCAGCTTCGACTGGGGTCAGGGGGAGGCTTCATCCTGAAACTGCCACATTCCTCAGCAGAACAACTGGGCTGAAAAGCCCACGGAGGGGAAAAAATTCTGCAGCGAGCCAGAAAAAAAAAATTAAATAATCCCTTGTGCAAAAGCCCATTGTCATGAACAGCTCCCGTGTCCCAGCCCCCTGCTGCCAGCTCACAGCAGGACCTCAAATTCCTTCCTGCACCAGGCTCTCCTGAGCTGCACTGAGGAATACCCAGCGCCCTGATCTGGCAGCTTCCCTCCTTCCCATGCCTTCAGAAAGGCAAAGAGACATCTCTGTGCCCACCATGTACTGTCCCCCAGACCCAGAGCCCCCGTGTGTGCAGGACAGCAGTACCCTGAGGGTGGGGGGCACCCACCAGTGCCCTTGGGTCCCCCCCAGCTGCTGCAGCCTGTGCCCCCACCCCAGTGGGGACAGCGTTCACCCCCCTGGCAGTTCTTACCCAAAACACATAGTGCAAAGGGACAGCGTGGGAAAGCAACTGGGATTTCCCTCTTTATTTAAAAACACAGGGAAGAAAGGGCCCTCCAGCATTTACAGGTGAGGGGGGAGGCGGGTACCCCACACCCCTGAGCATCACCTGCACCAGGCCCCCGGCCCTAAGAGCACTTGAGATCCCCAGCCAGCACTCACAGGAACGTCTGCAATCCCCTGGGAATGTCCATCAGAACAGAGCAAACCCTCCTGTCACACCACTCTGCCCACAAGGCACCCCGAATCTGCAGCACCCCCAGCAAAGCCCCACAGCGCACGCTTCGGGAGGGAGCAGCTCCGGGGGGATGTGGCCACGCCAGGGAGCTGGGAGGCAAATGCAGAGCTAAGAGGACACCAGCTTGCTTTAAAATCACCACAAAGCTCACCGAGGTCTGGCTGCACCCGCCCCGTCCTTCAGGATGGGAGGGAAATTCCTCTCCCCAGCACCACCTGCATAACAGATGGGTCTGGAGCCCAGCTCAGCTCGGCACTTGAAATTCATCTGCAGCCTTTGCACTGTCCTGGGGATGAGGGAGGGTGGGAACGAGCAACAGGAATGTTGCAATAATGCTGGAGTCACTGGTAGTTTCTCCTCCTGGATAATTAACCCTAATTGTGCAACAAGCTTCTGTTTTACCATCCCAGGCCTGAGGAAACTGTGCAATTATCGAGCACCAGGAACACTCAGGACTCCGTGGTTCCAAGGCCTTGCACGAAGGAACCATCATCCCTCTGCGTTCCCTGTTCTCCAAAACTGAGGTCAGAGCGCTGTCAACAAACACTGTGACTCTGATGGATGGGCTTACCAAACTACTAAAACATTCCTGAAACACTGTGTTAAGAGCCAAACAGCAAGTCAGCCTAAAAAAATTAAAGATTTCAAACTCTAGTGCAAATAAAGCAAAAAGGAGCAGGAAAAGGAACAGCAAGGCCTGAGTTGCTACAATTAAATAACAAGTACTAACACTTGCCCCGTACCGTTTGCTTCGATTCCCACTTGTTTTCATCGTCTCAATGTTCTCCAACACCTCCACACAACCCTCTTCTGAGACCCTCCTGCCCCTGAACTCGGGGAGCCCCATCCCTGCCTCCCCCAGCTGCACCAAGGCAGCTCCACCGATCCCAGAGGGGATCAAGGCAGGAAGGTGCAATTGGAATCCTGTTGAGGTCAGCTGGGCTCATCAAGGCTCAGAGCTCGACTGATAAAGCTCCGCTCAGCCCTGGGCTGAGGCTGAAGCACAGCTGTCAAACAGCTGGAGGCCCCAAAAGGGCAGGGAGAAAACAGATGATGTGCTCCTGGGGAGCACGCTGGGCTGAGTTTGCAGGGCAGAGGATGTGCAGTGGCCAGGGAAGCGAAAGGGAAGCTGTGTCCTCACTCAACACCCAGGGATTGCACTCACTTTCAGGGTGAAGGTATCAGACAATCTCGCTGCCAAGGGAACACCTGGATTTTCTACACACTGTTTATCACACCTACAGGAGCTCATTTGGTTATGGAAATCACGATTCACGTTGCTCTAAAAACTCCTGGTGGTTTCCACCTCGGGCAGGCAGTGGGTGACTCAGCCAGACGAGTCTGCCCAGTTCCATCAGGCACTCGGTTTTCGGTGCTTTTTGCTCAAAGCCCTTCACCACCCAGTGTGTCCAGGTGTGCACAGTGCAAAACCAACACCGTACCTGAGGATGCTCCCACCTGGGAGCCACTGCTGCTCCAGCTGCCTGCTCCGGCTTGCGCTCAGGAAGTACCAAAAAACATTTGGAGAGGCTGAGCACCTGCCCGGGCTGGGGTTCAACAGGAGCCACAGGTATAAAAGGACGTAATTAAAAGCCAACAGATTGCTGATACACCCCTGGGCAGGCGGTGGGAAGAGCTGGTCCGAGGGGAATAAGTCATTGGGAGGGGAAGCTGCAGCGAGTCCCCTGTGTGGGCAGCTGTGGGCTGGTTATCTCTCAGCTCTTCCCCACTCCTGGGGAGCCTGAGCAGCTTCAAAGGGGGCAGAAACGTTTTTCAAACACAAGAAAGGCCACACTTCCCTTCACGCTTCCAAGACCTCCAGCCGCTTCCTCCAGACTTGGTTTTTGGGGGAAATGATGGAGTTGCAGAAGGTGTCCCCTCATCCAGGTCCCCAGCACCTCCTGCCCCACACAGCAAGTGCTGGCAGTGCCTGGAGGCACCTTCCAAAACAGGAGCCACTGGGGTCAAGCCCAGGCAGGAGCAGCCAGGGAGCCGCTCTCCGCAGAGCAGGGCACCGGGATGCAGGTCCGGAGTGATCCCACATGGCAGGGCAGGGCAGGGCTGTGGGGAGGGGAGAGCCCACCCCGAATGGCCCCTCAGGGACCCCCGGCAGCCGCGGGTGGAGCCGGGGGGGCGGCTCGGTGCGCGGTCAGACGTCCGAGGTCCGGATGCTTTCATCGTCCAGGTCGAAGGCGAAGGGCTTCTCCTTGAGGTGCTGCGGCTCCGAGCGGTGCCGCAGGCGCGTGCCCGGCGCGGCTCTGCCGGCGCGTTCCGTCAGGGCCGGCACGAACACCGAGTCTCTGAGCGGCTCCGGCCGCTTCCCCTCCGCCTGCGGCCCCTGCGGCACCGGCGTCCAGGGCTGCCAGGAGGAGCTGGACGGGGCCTTGCACGGCGCTCTCCGCTCCTCCGCCGCCGGCCGCGATGGGGCCGAGGAGCCGGCGGGCCTGCCCATGGAGGTGGATCTCATGAAGGACATCTCCTGCAAGGACAGGGCAGAGTGAGGCTGCTGTGCCCTGCCCGGCACGCACTGCAGGAGAGAAAAGAGCCCAGAGCGAAGGGAAATTCCACAGCCTTTGCCATCCGTCAGCCTCTCGCTGGTGCCTCGGAGCAGAGCAGGGCTCGTCCTGCTCCACCTTGACAGCTGAATCTCACTCTTCCGCTTTTTCAAGGAAGCTTTTCCAGCGACTGGCAAAGCCAGGGAGGGCAGGGATCTCATCCTGGAATCAGTCTAACCAAGCACTCACACCATCCGCTAAATAAATCTCTCACACATTGGTATAAACTCCATTAGACACTAAACATGAAGCAGAAAGGACATGACCTACCCTGGGGCGGGTCTTCAGGGCCTGGACTGCGGCCGTGATCGCCCGGATCCAGCTGTGCATGTCCTCGGGGCTGTCTGCCTGCGAACACACCAGCCCCAGTGAGGCTGTGCCTCCTGCCACCCGTGCTGCAGCCACGCACGGACACGTGAGGCACCCGCTGTGCCGGCATTCCCGAGGCTCAGCTCTGCCTCTTCCTGCTCTCAAACAGTCCCTATCACAAATAAGCCCAAGGGAGAAGTGAAACCCCCCCACAGCTCTCTCTCAGCTGTAACTCATGTGTTCCAGCCCCATCTGTTCATGTCCACTGCTGAGGGGCTGCAGGGAACAGCCCAACTTACTGCTCCGAAAATTACCCCGGCCTCGCCTGCTCACCTGGATGTAGAAGGTCCTGGAGCTTGTTATGATTTCAAAGAGGTTGTCCCGCATCAGGAGGTCACTAGAAACAGTGAGAAAAAGACAGTCACACCAGCAGCCATTGTGCATGGATAAACCTCTGTTTATCCTCATCTCTGGGGTGTGCCGGGGAGAAACATTTTGAAGGCAAACCTTGGATCTCACTGGGATTTTGGGAAGACTCCAGCTCCCCATAGACCCTCAGCCACACACCCTCCCCATCTCTGCCATCAGCAGGAAGAGCCCTGCCCTCCCTCACCATAACCCACCGTGCTCCCAGCTCATTTTAAATGTCAGCTTACTATTAGCTATTAGGAATAAACAATTCAGAGATACGTCAATACAGTCTATCTTCACTTTAGCTGAAGAGGTTTGTTTTCTTAGGTCACTTTTCACTGCGGGTCTTTAAGTTATGTTGATTTTATCAGCGTTTGCTGCAATAACTTCCCAAGACACTGCAGCTGCCTGGGCAAACACCTCAAGAGCTGCCTCCCACCAGCAGGTCCCGCTGGCTGCTCCGGCCCGGCACAGCCTGGGGCAGGGAAACACGGACGGGAGCATTACCCAGACTTGACCAGGCACTCGTGGGTCTTGCAAACGTCCTTCAGGAGAATGGAACGCAAGGGCTCCTTGTCCTGCAGAGGTGGGAGGAGATGCTGATGGGCTTGGCTGGGCTGTGCCTCACCCAGGCCCCTGCTCCGGCACAGCAGCAGCGCCAGAGCTCCGCTCGGGGTCCCGGGCGGGGGCTGCTCACCTGCTCACACTTGTAGTAACTGATGGAAAACTCATCCAGAACGAAGAACCGCCGCTTCCAGCTCTTCCTCTGGAAAAGAGGAAATTGCTAGGTGCTGGGCTCTGCCACCCTCCCTGCCCAGGCAGCCCTGGAGCAGCCCTGGCACTCACCACGTTCCCCTGCTTCACGCAGAAGCCGCTCTTGAGCACGGGGGGCCCGGCGGGCGGCTTGGCGGCCGAGGGGGGGATGTAGCTCTGCGAGCGCCGCAGCAGCGGGTGGGCAGCCCCCACCTCGCTGCCCTCCCCTCCGTCCCCACCGTTCTGCAAGCAGAGGGAGCAGAGTTACCGGGAGCAGGGAGGGGAATTCCCTGCTGGAAGGCAGGACAGCCAGCTGCAGGGAAAAGCCACCTGAGGCAAGCCCCCAGCACAGTGTGTGAGCCAAGGGCTAATGGCAGGGCTGGACACAGGCAGGGAACGAGCCAGAGCCCAGCACCCACCCTTGGGTCCCCCCAGCACGTCCCAGAGCACCCCAAGGGGTGGACCCTGCCCCAGGGCCAGCATGGCCCTGGCAGCGCCCTCCCTTCCCCCCAGCAGCGAAGAGGATGGTTGAGATGAAACATCTGCTGCGCTCAGCTCCTTCCCCATCCCTCCAACCCCTTCCTCCCGCTCGCTGAGGTTTGCCATTGCCATGGCAGCAGGGTGGCCCTGCCTGCCACCAGCCTTATATGGCCCCGTGCCGGTGCGACTGCCGGTGCGGTTAAGCCGACGGTCTGCCTGCCCTGTGCCTTCCAGCACCTACCAGAGCTGCTTCAGTGTCCCCAGGACAGACAAACAACCTTTTGGCTGGCCCTAAAGTGCCACCCAGCCCCTCCAGAGAGCAGCAGAGCAGAGCTCTGGCCCTGCTGGGATGGGGACGTTGCCTCTGCCCCTCGCTTGGGGCTGTGCCAGCTCTGCTGGGTGTTACACACGTGCTGTCCAAAGCCAGTGGTGAGGACACTCCTGCAACAGGGAGGGTCACCCCTTGGAGCTGGGGTGATGCTGCTGGCCAGCCTGGGGGTGCAGCCAGAGTGTGGGGCTCCCCACTGCGGCCCCGGAGCAGCACCAGCCAGGAAACCACAGACGCACCCAGGAAGCTGCAGCAGAGGAATGGCCATTTCAGGTAGAAAGAGAAGCAAGAGCACAGGAACTTTGTGGCAGCTGATGCTCCACCTCCAAAAAACCCCTCTGCACCCCACTCCCCTGCACACACCCCCACAGCCCCGCCGAGCCCCGCGGCCAGGGGAGTGTTAAAAGCAGAAACCGCTGCAATGATCTAATTCTGCGCTCTATTTTCAGTGCTGCCACTGATAAGGGCTGAAGTGAGACCCAGAGCTGGACGAGAGCCCAAAAGTGGGCGATGCTGACGGCCACGAGCACACCCGGCCCGGTGCCAGGGAAGGGGTGCGGAGCCACAGCAAGCAGTGCCAGCCACCGCCCCCAGGACAGCCCAGTCCCCCTGCCCTGGGCACCTCCAGGTGGGATTTGGACCAAGGATGGGTGGGTGGATGGTGATGGCCAGGAAGCCGAGTGGATTCGTGGCTTCCTCCTCCTCCTCCTCACACCCCTCATCTCATCACACTTCAGAGCAAGACAAAGCAGAGGTGCCCCAGGGTGCTCAGAGCAGCCATTTACACCCGCAGTGGGAAGGGTACCACGCTGGTTTCCAGAAACAGAAGCACAAACCAGCTCACCTGGTTGATGGAGATGGGCGTGTGGACCACCACCCCCCCGACAATCTCTGTTTTGTAGGCCACCTGGGGCTTCCTCTCCTGGGCCTGGGGGACCACTGGGGCCTTGGCAATCTCCGTGGCTGGCGGGACGCTGCCGCCCTTTGGCACCTGTGGGAGAAACAGAGGGATGAAGGGCACAGGGCGACCATGCAGGGCAGCCCCACACCTGCACTGGGCACCCCAGTCTCTGTCTAATGCAGCAACATCCCTTCAAAAAATAACACCTGAACAAGCACCCCAGTTAGGAAGGGTGTGGGCCCCCCTGGGCGGCTTGCAGGAGGCACCCAGATGGGAGATGAGAGGTGCTGAATGATTAAGCATCACCTCAGAGGCACCTGTGATTCGCCTCTGCAGCTCAGTGCGTTTGTGGGACACTCGCTCCTTTAATTGTCCCCGCTCCACTTACAGCCGGGCTTAATGAGGAGCTGGGTCCTTAACGAGGCTGAGCTGCACGTCCACAGCCGACAGCCGGGCGCTAGCGAGCCCCCCAGCCTGGCTGTGACCCTGCTGAGCGTGGCCTCACACCCCTGGGCACAGGCTGTGCTGCAGGGACCCTGCTCCCAGCACCAGCATCTTCCCTTTCCCCCTCCCAGCTCCTTCCCCCTGGCACCTGGCTCTGGAGAAAAAGGTGTGTTTCCAGCTTTCCCTTCCCGAGACTGCACTTCCACTCCCTTACTGCCATTAGTGGGGTCTCTGGCTCCAAGCCACCCTCCTGCTTTCCCCCCAGAGCAGGGCAGAGTGGCAGCGTCACCCACAGCCCAGTAGCCCCGAGTTTCCCAGCCAGCCCGTGACAAGTCCTCCCTGCAGGGCTGGAAGAGCCGGTCGGCCAGCTGGGACACAGCCAGAGTCGGGAAGGGCTGCCCAGCACCAGGGTATGGAAATCACCACAGTTTCTTGCAGAGGTAGAAGATGTATCTAATCTTCCCATCACCCCGGGTCCCACCTCTGCCAGCCTGGCAGACCCTCCACCCACACCCCTGCCCCGGCAGCAACCCCAGAGGAATCTACACTGATGGTACAGCCAGACACACACCCAGGGCAGGCTCTGGCTGCAGCTCTACCCAGCTCTGGAGGTGAACGTTGTGGCCAACATCACCTGGACCCAGAAAGAGAAGGCACGAGCCAGAGCCCCTGCAGTCTGGTGGCTGCAGGCACAGAGGTTGTCATACAATGTCTTTGCAGACAAAAAAAGAAAATACAAGCCAGGTCTGATCTTGCAGATGAGTTTGCCACAGAGGCTACAACACGGCACTCCAGGGATTTTAAAGAAAAAACGCATCTGATTAGGCCCCAAACCTAAACTGTTTACCGTGATTTTTCCTTGCATTGAGCTTACACACCATAAACAGCACGCCTCAGTGCACGGTCTAGCGGAACTCTGCTCACATTAAGCACTGGCCCCACTGCTCGCTGCAGTTCTGCAGAAACCCCCAACCCCTTCACAGGGCCCCCCCCACCCTCCAGGTGCAGGGAGAAGCCCCCAGCCCCGAGCCCCCGGCGTAGGCACTGCCAGCTGAGCGTCCCCCCCAGCCTGGGGATGAGGCTCCCCCTCCACGGGGAGGGAGCTCAGCACATCCCCCATCGCCGGGAGCTCCGGGCAGCTGCGGAGCACAGACTCTGCGAGCTGCTGGGTCACTGACCATTCCCTCACGGCCCTGTGAGCACACCAGGAAATGAGAGGAGATGGCAGACGAGCCCCTCTGGATGTAGGCACAGCCCGCCTCGCCGCTCCCCACAGCGCAGGGCACTCGCTGCGCCTCATCACAAGACCCGGCATTCCAGGAAGAATAAAAATCGGGTAAATAAGTTATTGAAGCACAAGAAAGACGCCCTTTGACAGCCACAGCGAGGAGCTGGCTGGGCTTGATCCCAGTCAGCAGGAGCAACAGGAGGGAGAGGGCCCCGGAGCAGGCAGGGATGGGGACGGCTCCAACAGGACCTTCCTGGGGCACAGCCCCTGTCCCCCAGAGCCGGGCTGGGAGGGTGAAGAGAGACACACCCAGTAAATCCCAACCAGGAGAACCCCTGGGGATGGTGGAGGCAATATCTGAGAAGAGCATTAAGTGACCTACCGTGATCTTACTGGCCCGGTTCAGCGCCTCCACCCAGTCCTGCAGATCCTTCTGATCGCTGGCTTGCAAGAAATAGCGCTGGGAGAGAGCGTTGATAACTGCCGGGGAAGGGAAGGACAAGGACAGTTGGCAGCAGCTGGGAGGGCTCATGGCCATGCCACAGCCTCCTGAGGCTCACAGCCCGCTGGGGTCCCCCTCACTCACCAAAGCAGAACGGAGTTTTCGGCTTCTGTTTCGGGGTGGCGACGCTAACCTGTGACAGAGCAAATCAGGGCAAAAATTAGGGGTAACAGCCCATGCTCACGGTGGGCACGAGAGCTGGACATGAGGTTCCAGCTGTTGGGAACTGGCCCGTGCCAGAGTGACACCGACCACACGCAGCAGTGGGTGCAGGATCCCAGGGGAAGGTCAGCACGGAGCCAGGACTTCCATCCCCCGCATCCCCCCCGGCACTGGCTGCACTCTGCAGCACAGGACAGAAAGCTTTCAGAGGCCCTGGAAACATGAGTTCTTCTGGACTAACACAGTGGCTCTTGTCAGCAATTAAGAAAATTGAGGGAAAATAGCAGTGGTTTCTCCCTAAAGAGTAGGAATCATTTATATAAGAGTAATATTCCTTGGGGCTCCAAGCACAGCATTCGTGGAGTATTTACTCTGACAGCCCTCCTTCTTCAGAGCCAGTCCATAATGCTTTAAATATGTTTTCTCAAGCAAACCTCCATTTTTCTGGTGTATTTACTGTTGGTAGTTCCAGCTGCTGGCAGAACCCAACCACGCAGTTTGTGACCAAATTCTGTCCTGCAGCAATTTTCATTTAAACTAAAACCTATATAATTTGTAAGTGAGGCTCTTTCTGAAATGGGGAAGGCTCAGCCTCCCGGCGTTGCTTCATCTGTGCTTAATTTATAAATCATGATTCAGCAGGAACAGAGAGATCTGTCCAATTCTTTATCCGGCTCCAGGATAAAGCCGAGCTGAGCCCGGCGTGGCAGCCACGAGCCCCCCACTCCCCCCACAGCGGCTGAGGGGCCGCTTGCAGGAGGAGGACTCTGCTCTCTGCTCTCACAGCTGCAGCTCCACGTCTCACTCACTGGTCCTGCAACAGTTGTCACTTATTGCACTATTTCTGCCTTCTCCTGGAGCCGGATGACACTGTTAAGACACACAGAGTGAGTTTCCCACCCCAGGGAGGTTGTCACGAGCTCAGGCAGGACCAGGACCTGGCCTCGGGTGCTTCCAGGGCAAGCCATCACCTCTCCTGGGAATGCTGCATGGATAAGGGGATAACAGGGAGAATCCACCTTCCCCTCTGCCCCACCCTGACATTACCTTGGAGATATAGGTCAGCTGCAGAGATCCAACAGCACCCGCTCCGATGGCCAGGTTCTGCAACACAGGGATGAGCAATGGGAGGTGAATGACAGGGAGAAGGTGGCAGGGGCGAGCCAGGCTGTCGTTTGTGTCCTCGGGGTCGAGCAGCAGCCTCGGCTACACTCCCAGCACACGAGCCTACCTGAGGGTTGTCCATGTACCACAGCAGGTGGTTGGCCTGGGTGTCCAGGATGAAATACCTCCGCAGAAACTTGCCACAGGTCTCATTCTCTTCGATGTCCAGGAACCCGCAGATACGGTTCTGCCGATCCAGGTACGGCATGCCGGGCTCCTTCTGGCATCACCCTGCGGAGCGAGGGCGGGCAGGGAGGGGTGGGTGCTCTGCTCCCACAGCCCCAGCTCCCCAGGGAGCTGCTCCTGCACTCACAGCCATCCCAGCCCAGCGGAGCCAGATGTGCCAGGATGTCAGCACAGCCGCTCAGCCACATCTGAGCTCACCGGAGGGAGAGGAAAGGGATAACCTACCAAGCCGTCACTCCCAGCCCCAAGAGCCACCAACCCCCACGAGAGAGGACAAAGCAGCCACAAAGGATCTGACGTGAGACGCCAGATCCCTGGGAACTGTGGCAAAAAATAATCCCGAAGCAAACTGTGTGCTAGAGAGAGCCCGAGCTCACTCCCAGGAAATGGGAAACAATCTGCAACTCCAGCAGAAAATCTGTGCAGCCAGGATGCCGAGTCAGCAGGGCAAACAATGACCCATCACAGCGGGGCCACACCGTGCCCCTGGGTCTGCCAGGGGCATGGACCCCCCATGGCACTGTCCCCCAGCCAGGGTGGGCCAGAAAGTCTCCCTCGAGCCCCCCTCGGCTGCAGCAGGAACACCGTCACTTCCAGCCCCACGCGGGGAGAGGAAGCGGCACCGGGAGCTGTGGGTGGGCAGGACACGTCCCACGGCCCGGGCAGAGCCCCCTGTCCACAGAGCAGGGTGGAGGGAAGGGCTGGGGGCGGCCGTTACCCAGAGGATGAGAGCGAAGCCGGTGTGGTTTGTCTGGCAGGAGAGGGGTGATCACGCAGGTGCCAAAAGCAGAGCTACACAAATAAGAGACCTCATGCAGAAAAGGAGGAAATACTATTTTTGAGCTGCAGTGGAGTGGGGCCCGAGGAGGCAAGGGTTGTGCAAGAGCTGGGGTGCAGCTGCAAAGGTAGAGGAGGCAGAACACAAGTCAACCTGCTGTCAGGACCTCAGTTTATCACCAGCGTTTCAGAGATGGGTATTGGGGCTTGGCTGATGGGGAACTGTGCTGCTGCAGGGGGAGAGGTTGTTTTAGACCAACACAGGTGCCCCAGTGCAAAAGTTTATGTGGGGCACTTCATGTCTCACTGCTTTTTTGTGGGGTTATTTTTGTGGTGGGGAGGCACGTGGAAAGCCAATTGCCAGGTGCCTTCAACCACACCAACACATTCACACCAAGCCTCGTAAACTCTTCCTTCTGCTGATAATAAGAGTCCAGAGGTCCCTCCAGTACCATCCTTCATTACCACAGGCTCGCCTGGGACCCCACAAAACAGCTCAGCCCTTCTGTGCACACTGACCTCAGGTTGCACTTGGATGTGCACAAAGCTCTGGGCAGAGGAGACTGGGACTGCCCCCTCCTCAGCCCCCAGCCTGTCCCCTCACATCCCACTGCCCACAGGACACAAAGCTCTGTGTTCCTGGGGACACCGAGAACTTCACTCTTCCACAGGAGAGGGATAAAAGTAGCATTTCCAGCTCTGGCACTGAGAGCCAAGGTTTATGGATGATGCTCCCCCCTGATTCACAGAGGCTGATCTGCCACCCAAAAACGACAAACTTTCCGAGCATTACACCAAGTACAACCCTCAGGAGCTCATTACCACATTCTGCTTAGGAATGCATGCCATCTCCCAGTGAAGCACCCCAGAGGATGTGCACTACCAGGACTCTGTCCTACCTCTGAAGCAACCAGCTTTCGAGCTTTTTCAGTCCTAATGTCCCAAAAAGACAGACACCTCTTTCCTGACTCAGTGAATGAGATGGCAAGTAGTTGGTCTAGGGAAGAAGTTTACAGCAAAACACTCTGGGGATGTGCTTCCCAGGGAGAGGCAGGAGGAGCAGGGCACAGTCCACGCAGCACCCAATTCCCCTCTGGGGCCACGGGTGGCTCAGAGGCCTCGTGTGCAGCCACACAGCCAGACTTTCCGGGAAGAACCCCGGGACACCAGCACTCCACCACACCGTCACGACTGCTCGTGCCCTGCTCTGTCCTGCTCCCAGCACAGCTACAGCCACAGGAGTGACCCAGGGACACTCTGCAGCAGCAAAACCCGAGGCAACGGGAGACCCGACATTTGGAGCATCACAGCTGCACTGCCAGAGCCATCTCCTTGGCACCTCACTCCACAGCACCCATCACACCAGCGGGCAGCCACTGCATCCTCCTCCTCCTCCTCTCTCACGCCTCTCTGCCCGAGCTGCCCTGGCAGTGGCTGGGGTGCAGGAGGACGCCCCGTTTCAGAAGGGCTGGGAGCTGCGATGCCCAGTGAGTGCCCCAGTGCCCCAGGCAGCGGAGCCGCAGCCGCTGCAGCGCCACTTCCTCCGACCTGCTCTTGCAGAGGAGCTCCAGGAGCTTGTGCTGCGATGTCTGTCCCGACCCGAGAGAAGGACGGGGTAGGCAGAGCCCAGCAACTCGCTCCTGCTAATTCCAGACATCTGCCTTAATGAAATGATTAACCTGTTGGGAGCAGGCTGGGAGCAGCCAGGATACAGTTCTTTATCTGGCCACAAAGAGTCGGGGAACACAGCGAATAGCTGCAGACCCCTCATCCCCGCCGCACGCTCGCTTCCAGCCCCACAGACTCTCGGCGGCGATGGTGCCCACAGTACTCCCGGGGCTCCTACAGGGACCCCTCTGCTCCCCAAACCTCGTCCGTCCGAGCGGAGACCCCCTCGCTGCCCCCCGCTTCCCCGACCCTTCGCTGCAGGCACCGCCGGGCAGAAGCCGCTCGCACCGGGAGGGCTCGACCCCAGCCCGGGCAGGGATGCTCCAGCTGCAGCGACCCAAGTCTCCGCCACATCCCGGCACCGGGGGACCAGCCCTGGGGGCGCCTCCCCGCCCGCTCTCCCCGCCGGGAGCACCGACGCCTCCCGCCGCCCCGGGAAGCCTGGGAAGCCCGGGGAGTCGGGGGAAAGGGGCCGGAGGGAGGAAGGGGAGGGGGCAGCAGGGGATCCCAGCCCGCCCCGTGGAGTCCCTCGAGAAGCGCCCGAGAGCGAGCGCTGCCCACGGGCGGCTCCCCGTACACGCGTGGCCCCGGCACTCACCCCGCGGCGTCCCTGGGCTGCGCCCCCCGCGCATGGCCGGCGGAGCGGGCGGGGGGCGGCGGGGCCGGTGGCCAGGCCGGGGCTGCGGGCGCTGCGCACGCCGGGCGGCGGCGGGAGGAGGGCGGGCGGGCAGAAGAGGGGGTGTGCCCCTGGCTCCGCCGTCGCTTCTTTCCGGGTTAATTACGTCTGTCATTAGCAAACCCGGCCCCGGATGTGAGTGCGGGGCGGCTCCGTGGGGCGGGGGGTCGGTGCCCTCCGTCCCATCGCCCTCCGTCCGTGTCCCTCCCGTGCCCCCGGGGCCGCCACGGGGAGGGGTTGGGACCAGCCCGGTGCCAGCCCCGATACCAGCCTGGTGTGGGTCCCCTGCGCCCCCCAGGGCCGCCCAGTGCCAGGCTCGGGTCCCTTCCGATGACTCCCCCCAGACCCCGCGCAAGGGCGCTCAGCGTGTGCTGGGGTCTGGCACTGATGGAGCTGAGTTGCCCGGTGTGGCTCGTGGTTCCTGCAGGAGCATCCCTTCGGAAAGCTGCGGCTGGAGTGAGTTCAGGGTGGATTTGGGGAGCAGGAAACACCCCTGGGGAGCAGGAAACACCCCTGCCCTCGTGCCGCCCAAGGGAAGCCCCCGCTTTCTCTCCGGAACTGCACGTGGCCCCCAAGCACTTTCTCCCGGCGCGGGTGAAACCGATTCTGATACTGCCGTCGCCGCCAAGGGTGCTCAGGAGCCTGGCTCAGGGACACCCGCAACCCTCGTCCAGCCCACGCGTGTCCTCTCCTTCCCACTGCTGGCTGCGCTGCCTGCTCCCGGCATCCTCGCTGGAGCTCCCGCGCCCTGCCCTGCCAGCGCTGCCTCCCGCTCTCGCCATCCCTCCCTTTACAAAGACTAAACTGTTCCAGGGAGTATTTTTATGCCGGGGCATCTCTCGCAGCCCTTGTGACCCGCCGGAGCCCGGGGCAGCGCTGAGCTCCGTGCACGGTCACACGGCAGCGAGTCACAGCGCTGCGCTCTGATCGTTCCGAGAGCCTGGCAGTTCTCCTCAGGGATTTTCCAGTGCGTTTACTGCTGTAGCCTGTCGGGGCGTGCGAGCAGCCCCTGGGACTCGCTGAGACACCCCGTTAAGCACATCTCCACTCCAGGGCCTTTGGAGATCCCACCAGCACCCAGAGACCCCGCAGGAGAACAACCTTCATGTGCCCTGGGGAAGGAGCCAGACCCACAGCAGACAGGGAATAATCTGCTTTCCAGACACTCCTCTCCAGTGGCAGCAGCTCAGCATCCCTCTTGTCTGGTGTTTACCCTCACAAGACTTCATATCCACGTTCTCCAGGACTTCTTTCTCACCCTCCACCACTCACCAAAGTCTCAGTTCCAGCAGCATCCTCCAGCTGGGAATTCCGTGGCTGAAAACGAGAGTGCTGAATTACTTCTTTTCTTCTGTTCAGACTTGCTCTGTTTGGTTTCAGTACCTGTTCCCCTTTCCCTTGAGTGTTTAGTGGGGCAGACTCCAGCAGACGGCTGCTGTTTGCTGCTTGCCTTGCATTATAGTTCTTGCAGCCAAATTCCCATGGTCCCAACCATCCTTCTCTCTGTTCATCAGTCCCCCTTTTCTTCTCCTCATTCTGTTCACTCACTTTTACCGTTCTCCCTCACAGGGGGAATCTGCTCCGGGCCCTCGAGCTCTGCCTGGCAAAGCCCCCCAGGAGCCAGCCCAGCCCGTTTCGGGATGTTCTGTCGTGGTTCTGGTGTCCCTGTCAATGAGAGGCTGTGAACAGGGTTCTCAACGGCAGCGTTTATTGGACTGGTGGCGGCGGGACCCCCCTCCTCCCCCAGAGAGAGCCCCCCACCCATGTATCCCTCTAGGCTAGAGCAGCGAGCAGCTACGCCGGGCCGGCCGCCCCGCCGGGCCCCTCAGAGCCAGCCCAGCAGCAGCGTGCCGGCCAGCGCCGCGGCCAGCAGGCTGGGCAGGGGGGGCGGTGGGACCCCCCCGCCGTTCCGGGAGCCCCCCGACGGCCCGTTGCAGTCGTCGGTGAAGCAGCATCGCACGGTGGCCCCGCCGGAGCCGCCGCGGCGCGCCTGGTCACAGAAGGACTTGTAGGAGCAGGACTTAATGACGCTGTCTGCAAGGAAAGGCAACGCGACACGGGGGGTCAGGCGCTCCCGGGAACCAGCTCCACCAGCAGGTCCCCTGCTTCTCCTTCTGTCCCCAGCCCCTCTGGTCCCCCCACGCCCCAGGACCCCCGGTCCCCCAAGCCAAAGGACTTACTGGGCGCAGTGATGGTGGAGCAGGCGTCGGCGTACTGGGGGCAGCTGTGGGAGCCCTGCTTGTTGCAGTCGTTCTCGTTGGACGCAACACATTTGTGGCATTTCAGCGCTTTACCTTGGCAAAAACGAGGAGGAGGAGGAGGAGGAGGAGTGAGAGCAGTGACTGGAGCCCCCAGTGCCCCGCCAGAATCTCTGGCTCTCCACAGCCACTGGTGACCCCCAGCACCGGGACAGGGAGTCACAGGTCTTCTTGTGCCAAATTTCATTTTAATGAGTGTTTCATGGGGGAGAAGGGAGGATTCACCCAACCTGTGGGAGCAGGCTTTGTGTATTTGTGTCTGTAAATGACAGCAGCTCCCATACACTACCCTGGGCTCAGGAAGCTCAGCCCAAAGGCACTGCCTGGGGACAAGAGCGGTGACAGGTAGCACAAGCCATCTCCAGATCGTCCTCAGAGGAGGCCATGGGCAGGTCAGACAACAGCCAGCCCCTTGCTCCTGTGTGTTGGAGCTGATAGTGGTGCAACCCTTCAGAGCACACACAGACCAGAAAAACCCAAACCTGAAGATCCTGCTCTCTCCTGAAATTATGAGTCCTTGATTTGGGTGGGGATGGGTAAATTACCGCTGGTGTTGGAAGTAACTCATCTCTGCTTTGCTGGCGGAGCAGAGCCCTCTCGTGGCAGTGGGGACAGGCTCCTGGCCAGAGCCCCCACCTTCATCTCAGGGAGAGGAGAAAAACCACGAATGGGGAGAATTGGGATCTCATGGGGTCAGATGAGACTAAGCACCTGCCATTGACCCACAGTGGCCCAGCTGCCACTGAGGGGCTGCTCCTTTGTGGTTCTTCACTGCACAGAACAGCCTTTCATCTGCCCTGAGCTAAAAACACAGGCAGGTTCATCTTGCCTTGGCCCAAAGACCCCAAAACCGTCCAGAGCTGCCCCCACTCCATGGCACTGCTCTGAGCAGTGTGACCCCCCTCCTGCCTTCAACGAGGGCTTTTTGTGATTCTGCCTTGGAGGAACCAAGTTTTAGCTGGGAAGCACAGCCCCAGCCACGAGAGGCTGCTGTGTTTTGGCTCAGGTACCTCCTCGGCTCTGTTGGGTCTGGACACCGGAGGCTCTGCAGTCCCTGCACGCCCAGGCTTTGTGCCAGTGGCAGAGAGGCGAAGGGCAGGGGACTCCTCTGCCTGCTACTCAAAGGAGAAAGCCCCCCTTCCCCCCCCAAGAGACCACCTCATGCAAGGGGTGGGAGCAGCGTGGGAAGGGGGCACAGTGGGAGGGACAGGGCAGCAGCAAGCGCAGGAGCAGCTACAGCAATTTACCTGTAGCCTGGAGCCAGGGGACACTTACTTTCTCCAGCCAGGGACGTGACAATGGCCAGGGCCAGGAGGGTCTTCAGGGAGGGCATTCTCAGCAGTGTGCAGCGCGGGGTGCGTAGCTGCTGTTTTGTCTTAAGCTCTCACAGCTAATCTGCTCGGGTGATTGGACAGGGGGAAGGGGATAACGCCTCACTGCAGCCCCTGGATAATGCCATCTTAGCTGGGGAGGACGAGACACAGCTCCCCAAGGGCACGGGCCAGGCTGGGGCACAGGAGCAGGCAGGGTGTGGGAGCGGTGCCGGTGGTTCAGCGTCAGCAGTTCAGCGTCATCGCAGCGTGGTGGGAGTCCCAGGGGCAGCAAAGTCACTCCAGGTCTGAATTTCAGAGCTCAGGAATGCAGATTTCAGGCACAGATGATAACTGTGCTTATTTGAAACCAACTGCAACGTAAACCACGTTAATAAACACGAGGCAGAACGTGGCCCACCCTGGAAGGCAAAGCCAGCTCCTCCAAACACCCTTCACCCACCTCACAAACACCAAGAAAGCTTTCAAGAGTGATAAACACAATTTTTACTCAGGCAATGAAACATGGAAAAAAAATATATTAGTAATCATTATAATAATCTCATTTGTGTGAGTATAACTCTTACAAATATTTACCTGACATATAAAAGGGAAATTATCATACATATAAAACTGATGATGATGGCAGTTACACGCATGGCACGAAGCGGCAGGGCAGGAGTCAGAGCAGAGGAAGTTCCTGCCTGGGGGATCACACTGTGGGGACAGGGATTGGCACTTCATTACAGACAGATCTGCTGGCAAATGCACACTGCAAATAGCGACACGGGCAGGGCCTGTCACTGCCAGGAAGGGGCATTTAAACTCTACTGCGAGGAACACACGACAAACACACCCAGGCTGGGATGCCCTGCAGGGGGACTGGCTGCTCCCCGCGCTGGCCACGGGGACGCCGCGGGCTTGGCACGAGAGACACAACAGCCCTGCCCCTCTGCAAACACACACCTGCTGTTTTATATCACTATACCCATTGTGTATGTGTTTATATATATGTGACTATAACCATATTATAGTTAAGAAATCATTCCTTAGGAATCTTCTTGGCCCAGACTGGGGTGCGTGCGGACAGGCCCAGGATGGGACAGCGCCGGGTGAGGGAGGCAGTGTGGTGGGACCAGGTGACAGGGGGAGCAGGGACAGGACAGGAGGGGCTGAGGGCTCTGCCCTGGGGGTGATCACGGTGGAGCTGTGCTCTGCAGACAGCCCAGAGGGGAAGGATGCAGCAGTGACCACACCGTGCGCAGGTTGGGGCTCTGGGGAAGTGCCGGGTGGTGAAACCCAAACTTCTGCAATTCCGTGCCAGCCACGAGGGCCAGAGCAGCCCCCTGAGGAGAGACCAACCTCAGACTGTCACACGTGGAGCCAAGCCAGCACACGAGCATCAC